GTTCCTAATAAAGTTTTAAATCTCACCACCCTGAATAGATGTAGCAGTATGGAATATTTCTGAGGTCAGAACTTTTAAAAAGTCCTTATTTGATTGCAAAATAAGTACATTCATTTCCAAATTATTTCTTCATGCCTGGTAGAATTTTGCATTTTCCCAAAGTGCACTGTGTGAATTGGAGAGAAAACTTAGTAGCCATGAACCACGGCATAGACTTTCAATCTATTTTCAGTGAAGAACTTTCAGAAAATAGGAGTTACAGGATGAGTGAGCTGGAGAAATTTTAGATATCAATTAGCTCAATAGATGAAAAAATGGAGGCGTAAACATTTTCTGAGATTAAAAAAGATCCAAAATTATATGGCTGATAACAAAACGTGATCTGACTCACAAAGTTTTCAGCTACACAGCACTTCTAAAACACGCTTATGCTTCGCTCCTGCTGCAGAACCTGTCTCTGCACGCCTGCCTGGTGTGTGTGTCCTGTCACGCCGACCTGCGGGGCCAGAACCCTTTCCACCAGGGCCAGCCAGCTCTGTGTGGGCCGATCCGGCTGAGACAAACAGACTGAAGCAGCCAGGGCATTCTCTTGTCCCCAGCCACTGAACCCCGGTTGGCCCCAGTCTGTCCTTTTTGGTGGCCTGAGCCATTTGCAAGGTGTCTGTCTGGTTCCCTGTCTGGCCAAAGGGTGATCTTGGCACACCTCAGGTTGAAGTGGGGGTCGTTACAGCTGAGAGATAGAAGTGGGCCTTGCCCTCCGGATCAGACAAAGTCTTTACCTGTGTTCAGTAGTCTGCGCCTTATCCGTGGTTTCATGGGCTGAAATAGGAGTGGAAAATTCCAGCAATAAATGATGCGTGAGTTTAAATAACTTTTACTATGGTAAATTGTTGTGATTGTTCTATTTTAGTATTGTTCATCTCTCTCTCTTTTTAAATTTGTATTAACTTATTTGTTCGAGAGGGAGGAAGACACAGTTCTCAACCGCAGGCTCATTCCCCAGATGCCCACAACGGCTGGGGCTGGGACAGGCTGCTGCAGGCAGCTGGTCTCCGCCGTGGGGGCAGTGACTCAGCCATCTGAGCCGTCACTGCTGCCTCTCAGGCTGTGCGTTAGCAGGGAGCTGGAGTCAGGAGCGTAAGCCGAGACTCGAACCCACGCACTCAGATGCGAGTTGAGGGCATCTCAGCTGTTATTCTGATGGCTGGGCTGAGTGTCTGTGCACTCCCACTGTGCACCTCTTGCCTCATCTAACTTATCAATTAAACTTTATTGTAGGTCCCTATGTGTAGGAGAAAATGTAGTATATACAGGGTTCAGGAACTTCAGTTCCCGGCGTCCCCCGGGGGCCCTGGAAAGGATCCCGCCTCGATACGAGGGGACAAATGTATGAGATGAAATCTGGTTAATCCGTGAACCAGCGGATAGAAGCCCTCTCTCTCCCCTTCTCTGTCTGTAACTCTGCCTCTCAAATAAATAAAATCTTTTTTAAAAATGCATTATCAACGGCCTATGAAGTGGCTTACTGTTTTCAAAGTTCGGGTGCGTGTGGGTGAGGGGAAGTGGACGAGGTGCCTTGTCGTTCCAGAAGTGTCAGCTGGTCCCTAGCAGAAGGAATGTCTTCTCCACCCAGCCGTGTTTTAAGCTCACACAGAATTGCTCCCCCTCCCCCTTTTTATGGATGGAATTTATTCCTAAGTGTCGTGTAACTCTCTGGGAGTTGGGTTCTAAGAAGCTGGTATGTTTCACATTTTGTTGTCAAATGGCTTTAGTCTCATAAACTCACTTTAACAAGTCTCGGGTGGGTGTGGTGGTGCAGCAGGTTAGGCTACCACCTGTGACGCTGGCTCCGTAGTGGAGGCTGGTTTGGGTCCTGGCTGCTCTGCTTCCCATCCAGCTCCTTGCTCCTGCGCCTAGGAGGCAGCAGAGGATGGCTCAAATACCTAGGTCCCTGCCTTCCATGTGAGAGACCCGGATGGAGTTCTGGGCTCCTGGCTTTGGCCTGACCCAGCCCTGGCTGCTGTGGGCACTTGGGAGGTGAACCACTAGGTAAAAGATCTCTTTCCCCTTCTGTCTGTTGCTCTGCCTTTGAAGTAGATGAAAGTCAATAAACATTTAGAAAAAAAAATTTGTATGCACGCTTTGTGTATTAATTCACAAAAGACTTTCACCTCCCTGCCTCTTTTTTTTTTTATCCTTTCAAATACATTTTTATTGGGATACTGGCAGATTTACAGAAGAGTTGTCCTTATAATAAAGTGCCATCAGGGTACCTGGTTCATTTCCAGTAATGGGCTTCCTGGCTCCCAGCTTCAGCCCCAACCCGGCTTCAGCTCCTGTGGGCATTTGGGAAGTGAACCAGCGTCTAGCTCTTTGCCTCTCAAATAAATAAATTAAATAAAAAAATATATTTTAATACAGAGTCTGTATATGTCCCATCCGCCTCCAGCCTGCGGTCCAGTTTCTGATGGTTTCTTGCATTGACACACATCGTTCCATCATTGTACTCAGAGCTGTCGCTTTCGTCCAGCCCCTGGGGACCGGCATTCTCTGTGGCAGTCATTCTGGGAGACAAGCTGTTGAACAGACGTTGTAAGCATGTCACGGGAGAGGTGCCCCTGTCCCCTTCAAAAGGAAAACCAGTGTAAGGACACGGGACCTTCCGGATTTCCTTGTTCACACTGGGTGCTCAACAAGCTCTCCACGTGTCGTCATTTCTTCCCTTGTCTCTCTGGCCTCCTGTTTTATAACAGGTGTATCCCGGGAAGGTTCTGATTCTGCCCGCTGGAATGTTGCACAAGTTAGGACAATAAATGGAGTCTCTGCAGTACGAGCTGTGCCCGATTGATTGCCGGTCTCGTTGCGAGTGGGAGAAAGAGGCCGGTGCACTGGCTGGGAGGCAGGGGCGTTGTCCTGGTTTTGATGGGTGCAGGCTCAGGTGCCCGTTGCCCAGGCCTGCCTGAAGGACTGGTGTCATCTCTGGGAGCGGTTCCTGGGGAGGGCTGGCCTCCCCTCCCACCGCCAGCCAGTGCCGACCTGTTGGGGAGCCTGGATTGCAGGGCGGGACTCCAGACAGGTGGTAGCAAAAGAAAAAAAAAAAGTGCTTCCCTCGGGGAGATGATGCATAGTCAGGCTCCGTGGGAGAAGTTCCCACATTCTTGCGATCCCACCCTGTCCACACATAATGCAGCCAGTGTTGCCAACGTTTTCTTTAAACAGTGAAATCCTTTCTTTAACACACACGCACAGGAGAAAGTCCAGTCAGACGGCCACCAGACAGAAACAAGCCCAGGCTGGCTGTGGGTGAGGGGTTGGGGTTTCTGCAGCTTCTCCTGGCGTATCTGTGAGACTTCACACTCATTGGGCACTGATCTGATAACCTTAACTCGTCTGGTAAGCTGTGCACCGGCATAATGTCTCTTGACAGATGAAATACCAGGACCGTCTCAAGTTCCGAGGTGTGGTGCAGTGGGTTAAGCAGCCACTTGGGACACCGGTTCGAATCCTGGCTGTTCTAGTTCTGATCCAGCTTCCTGCTGATGTGCCTGGAAAGGTAGCAAAGGATAGCCCAAGTGCTTGGGTTCCTGCCACCTGTATGGAGACCTAGATGGAGTTCCTGGCTCCTGGCTTCAGCCTGGTCCAGCCCTGGCTGGTGGGGCCATTTGGGATGGAAAATCTCTCTCTGTCTCCTTCCCTCTCCCTATACCCTCCATCCCCACCCCTTTCTGTCACTCTGTCTTTCAAATAAATAAATAAATCTTAAAAAAAAAAAAGGGAATGTATTCTTAACCTCACCACCTTTTTAATCTTTAGACTCTGGACCATCTATAACATCCTTCTTCAGCGCCACTGTACTTTTTTTTAAAATTTTTTTATTTTTGTATGAAAGGCAGAGCTACTGAGAGGCAGAGGCAGAGAAAGAGGTCTTCCATCCCCTGCTTTACTCTTCAAATGGCTGCAATGGCCAGAGCTGGGCCAGGCTGAAGCCTCCAGGAGCCAGGAGCTTCTTCTGGGTCTCCCACGTGGGTGCAGGGGCCCAAGCACATGGGCCATTTCCACTGCCTTCCCAGGCCATACTGGAGAGCTGGATCGGAAGTGGAGCAGCCGGGACTAGAACCATGGCCAAATAGGATGTCGGCACGGCAGGTGGTTGCTTTACTGGCTAAGCCACAGCTTTTAAAGCTCCCACCACACATTTCCCAGGGAATGGCCCCATTAGAAATGTGCACTGAATAAGCCTCTTCTTGGGGCAAAACTAACCACCCGAGCAGACCCTGAAAGCCAGAGGGGCTTGTTTTTGAATGAAAGATGTTTCCATTTCCCATCACTGTCTCACTCTGATTGCTTTCCTGTGGGTGAGTTTCATTGCCGTTTCACAGAATGCTTTTGGAGACATTGCTTCTCCCTCCTCTGGTTTTCCTGAGCCAGACTTGCTGGGGGAAGTCTCCCCGCTCAGTGTGTGGCCGCCACTGTGAGGCCCCCACAGAGGGGGCCTTGGCTGCCTGGACCCCTGTGGGGTGGGGGAGGGGCGCTATCTCTGCTGATACCGGTTCTCACCAGAGTTGTCTTTTTTCTTTTTTCACAATGCAGAGGAATATTTCTGAATTGGGTTACGGATCAGGGTGGGAGCAGTGGGGGACATTATTGGGCCTGACTGGTGGATTTTGGGAACGTTCTATGGATTAGGAAATGGTATGAGATCCACTTTACCGTCCCCGGTTTCGGTAGTTGTGCTGCAGTTTTATGTGAAGGAGCGTCTCCATCCTAGGACACATGCTGTGATAGTGGGGGTAAAAGGCCCTGATTATTCCCGAGTGATGAAATCTACACACGAGGGTGGCAGAGCACTCAGGACTGGGCAGCTGGGCATCTGGTGAAGAGTCAGCAGTATTTTTGTCCAGCTTTTTGCAACTTTTCTGAAAATTTCGAATTATTTCAAAATGGAAATTTTTTTAAAAAGAGCGATCTCATGCCTGGATTCCTTGTGTTTGCCTCCGCAGCCAAACCGGCACGATGTCCAGGCACCAGAACCAGAACACCATCCAGGAGCTTCTGCAGAACTGCTCGGACTGCTTGATGCGGGCGGAGCTCATCGTGCAGCCCGTAAGCTCGCTGTCTTGTTCCCCCCACCACACACACCCAGCCACCGCTCTCCCCTACACACCCCCCCGGGTCCTGGGTTAGCACCGAGTCCTGCTCCTAACCCAGACGTCAGCTGCTCAGCCCAGGCCGGCCCCTCCCCAGCCTGTACAGATGGTCTTTTCCAGAACAGACTAGAAAAAAGGGAGGTTGTCTTGGTCCCTTCTCTGAGGCTAATCACACAAGACCACAGACCTGATAAATTATACAGGGAAGAGTTTGGTTTTGGCTTCGTGATTCTGGTCCAAAGCCAAGAGCACGTGTCTGGTGACGGCCGTGTGGCTGGTGGAAGTGGGGCCCCTGGCGTTTATAGTAGACCCGTTCTCAAGATGACCGTCAACCCACTAATCACCTCTGCAAGGTCCCACCTCTGTCTGTGTCATAACGAGGATTACATTCCCACGTGAGTTTCGCAGCTGGACAGATTGTATTGAAATCCTGGCAGATGGGTATCTCCTTAGCCTAGGTGGAGTGTGTGTGCAGTGTTCACACACAGCAGGTGTTTGTACTGAAGGTGGCCACCCTTTGGGAGTTGCAGACATTTATTGTTACAGATGTGACTTTGCTGTACTTTCTCTCCTAGAGATGCAACCTGATGTGTGTCCTTCACTGGCCTGGGATGGATTATCTTGTGCCCCATTGGTTGTTTTTGCAAGGGTGGTGGAGAGAAAAGAGAGAGAGAGAGAGATTTTTTTTTTTTTTTTTTTTTTGGACAGGCAGAGTGGACAGTGAGAGAGAGAGACAGAAAGGTCTTCCTTTGCCGTTGGTTCACCCTCCAATGGCTGCCGCTGCTGGCGCACCGCGCTGATCCGATGGCAGGAGCCAGGTGCTTCTCCTGGTCTCCCATGGGGTGCAGGGCCCAAGCACTTGGGCCATCCTCCACTGCACTCCCTGGCCACAGCAGAGAGCTGGCCTGGAAGAGGGGCAACCGGGACAGAATCCGGCGCCCCGACCGGGACTAGAACCCGGTGTGCCGGCGCCGCAAGGTGGAGGATTAGCCTAGTGAGCCGCGGCGCTGGCCTGTGATAACAGATATCTTAAGGTCATTCAGTCAGGGTTAGAAAACACAGGTTCCATGATTTTTGCGGAGTAACTCTGTGTTTTAAAACATGGTAGAGGGACCAACGTTGTGACATAGCAGGTGAAGCCTCCGCCTCGGATGCCCGCATCTTGTGTGGGCAGCGATGCGAGTCCCGGCTGCTCCACTTCCGATCCAGTTCCCTGCTGATGTGCCAGGGAAAGCAGTGGGTGATGGCCCAAGTCCTTGAACCCCTGCACCCACGTGGGAGACCCGGAAGAAGCTCCTGGCTCCTGGCTTCCAATCTGCCCAGGCTCGGTCGTTACAGACATTTGGGAAGTGAACCAGCTGATGGAAGATCTGTCTCTGTCTGTCTCTGTCTCTCTCTCTCTCTGTAACTGCCTTTCAAATAAATAAATAAATCTTTAAGAAAAAAAACCAAAAGCAAAACATGGTAGCATTCACGTTTGCTCCGAAATTGCTGAAGTCAGACTAGGGATTGGTGGGGCTGTAGCCACCTCTCCTATTCCTTTCCTGGCATGTCTCAGTTCTAGCTAAGGAATTGAATTCTAGGTGCCCTAGTGCCAGCGTTCATGTCACGGTCACAGAGCACTTGTTAAATAGCCTGTATCTGAAACCGAGGTCTTCCCCACGCAAATTTATGGATTCTATTTGGAGAATATCTTAACGTTTTAAGTTCTTAATGGAACCATCCTTACGTCTGTTTCATTTTGCTCAGGTAAGAATATAGACTTCACTTTAGTTCAGGTAAGGAGACATTTGGGGGTCAGCGAAGTAGCAGGGCCGTAGTTCTGGTTGTCTCACTGTGTGGGTGTGGAGCGTGCTCCCCCAAATGCTCAGATGGGGCCTGCCTTGCTCCGTATAAGGCAAACCAGGAGGCACCAGTGGTTCAACACTGAACGCAGACACACCCAGCCCTGGCCACGCTTGTCGTGACCATAGTAGGTTTTACCTACAGTTCCGCAGGTTTACAGGGAGTCTTACTCTGAGTGTATTTTACCCGTGTGCACTGAAATGCAATAAAAACACCAGAGGGGCACAGGAGCCCATCTCCTGATGCTTCTGGGCACAGCCATGGTTTACTGGTCCGGAGCTGAGGGAGAGCAGCGAAGGTAAAATTCTAGAGAAAGCGTCAGTGACGCTGAGGCACTGAGACAGCTTCCTATTGTTTTAAAGCTTTTAATTTTTAAATAATTATAAACTCATAAGAAGTTGCAAAAGTAGTGTAGAACGGTCTGTGTGCCCGGCTTCCCCCATGGTGGCCTCTTACTTAAAGACACCGGGTGGCCCAATGCAGTTAACCACACAACGGCTCCCTCTTTCTTTCTTTCTCTCTCTCTCTTTCTCTTACTTCCTTTCTTCCTTTTTCTTTTCTTTTCTTCTTCTTTTTTTTTTTTTTTTTACAGATTTAATTATTTATTCGCAAGTAGAGTTATAGAGAGAGATCTTCATTCTGCTAGTTCACTCCCCGGATGTCCTCAAAGCCAGGAGCCAGGGGGCTACATCCAGGTCTCCCACATACATGGATGGCAGGGGCCCAGACACTTAGACCATCTTCCACTTCTTTTCTGAGGCTCATTAGCAGGGAGGTGGATTGGAAGTGGAGCAGCCAGGACACAAACCAGCTCTTCCCCTTTTTAAAAAAAGATTTATTTTGTTTGAAAGGCAGAATTACAGAGATGGAGAGAGGGAGGGAGAGAGAGATCGTCCATCTGCTGGTTTACTCCCCAAATGACCAAAATGGCCAGGGCTAGGCCAGGCCAAACCAGGAGCCAGGAGCATTTTCCATGTCTCCCACGTGGGTGCAGGGGCCCAAGCACTTGGGCCATCTTCTACTGCCTTCCCAGGCACATTAGCAAGGAGGTGGATCGGAAGTGGAGCAGCCAGGACTCAAAATCGGCACCCAGATGGGATGCCAGTGTTGCAGGCGGCAGCTTTACCTGCTATGCCACAGTGCCAACCCCAGATGCTTTCTTTTTAAGAACTGCAAAGTTACGTTTCCCTAAAATGCAGAGAAGCTCAGCTTGTGTGTGCTGGGCCCTATGTGGTGAAATAGCGTGGTGTTCTTAGCGCAGTGAGATTCCCGTTGGATGGGTGGTGTTTGCGTTAAGTGAATGACTGCCGTCTAACATATGGGAGCATGGCGAAGCTTAGCATCCTGTGCGTGTGCTTCCAGCAGCACGCGTGAACGTTTTCTTCCCAGCATAGTGTGTGTTCCTTCATGTGCATTCTTTCTCCCAGGAGCTGAAATACGGAGATGGAATACAGCTGGCTCGGAGTAGAGAACTCGATGAGTGCTTTGCCCAGGCCAACGAACAGATGGAGATCACCGACAGCTTGATCCGAGAGATGCGGCAGATGGGCCAGCCCTGTGACGCTTACCAGAAAAGGTACTGCCCACCGAGAGGGGCTGCCACGCACCTGCCGGTAATGAGTCCCAGGAGCCCGGTCAGCTGTTAGAGGACGCCCAGTGTTCCCTGGGAAGGGCTCCGGGACTCGGTATCGCCCAGCCTTGGGTCTCTCCTACAGATGGACCCCTCCCACTGTCTTCAGACTCCAAAGCTGCCATGCGAAGTATTAAACAGACCTGTCCAAGAGAGAGGCACCTTTCAGAAAGTCCAGTTCCCATTTTTTAAAAAAAGACTTATTTATTTATTTGAAAGAATTACAGAGAGAGGGAGAGACAGAGATCTTCTATCCACTGGTTCATTCCTCAGATGGCCACACGCTGGGCAAGCTGGAGCCAGGAGCCAGGAGCTTCATCCGGGTCTCCCACATGGGTGCAGGGGCCCAAGCACTTGCTTTTCCCAAGCAATTAACAGGGAGCTCGACTGGGAGTGGAGTAGCTGGGACACGAACTGGCGCCCACTTGGATGCTGGCGCTGCAGGTGGTGGCTTTACCTGCTACATCACAGCACCGGCCCCGTCTAGGTCTGATTTTGCAGTTCATCTTGGAATCCCTCTAACCGAGAGAGTTGCACAGCCCTTTGGCACAGCATCTGACTTTGTAAGTCCAGTGTCAAGTTGAGCTTAATTTAATAAACCCAAAAGTGAGACTGCCAGGGCTGGACATGAAGGCTGGAAAGCAGAACTGTGTAGTCTGAATTTTTTCTCAGGCCACCCAGGGTCCTGGGGCCTTAGGAAAGTGCCCAACACAAAACTTGGAGAAAGCACAAGGCACCACCTGGTTAAGCAGAGGTGATTCAACATCCCGTGATATTTCAGGATTTGAACAGCTGCCTAAGGTTGAATTTTTGTATGTGATCAAGATTCACATCGTGGAGTGAAGGAAAAAAAAAAAAAAAACCTCCAAAGAAAACATTAGTGACCTGTGTGTTGACCCAGGGAGACTCGGGAAAGGGGTGGCTTGCCCTGGGTTCCCTAGGTTGCCTTCTGCCCGGCTGTAACCATCCATCCTCCTCTTCCTCCCAGGCTGCTGCAGCTCCAGGAGCAAATGCGAGCCCTTTACAAAGCCATCAGCGTCCCCCGAGTCCGCAGGGCCAGCTCCAAGGGCGGCGGCGGATACACCTGTCAGAGCGGCTCCGGGTGGGATGAGTTCACCAAGCGCCTCACCAGCGAGTGTCTGGGGTGGATGCGGCAGCAGAGGGTAAGCGGCCGCCACAGGGCGGGTGCTGGTGCTCCGCCGCCCCGAGCCTGCGTCGGAGTGAGATGGGTCAGCCCCACGGTTCTCCTCGCCAAGAGTGTTCTGGCCTGCAGATGGCTTTTTGGAGTTTTCCACCTATGCGATTTTTTAAAAAAAGGATTTTATTAATTTATTTGAAAGGCACAGTTAGAGAAAGAGAGAGAGGACGTCCATACACTGATTCTGGGGCCGGGCCAGGTTAAAACCAGGAACATATAACTCTATCAAGATCTTGCGCACAGGTGGCAGGGGCCCAGGTACTTGGACCATCTTCTGCTGCCTTCTCAGGGCATTAGCAGGGAGCTGGATGGGAAGCAGAGCACAAGGGACTTGGACTGCTTTTCCAGTGTAGGATGGCGGCGTAGCAGGCAGCGGCTTAACCCACAGTGCTTCTGCCCCCTTCTCTACAATATGAAAGTGGTCTCCTACTTTGAAATACATGTTTCAGGCAGCTTTTTTTTTTTCTGTGCATCTTAGCGAATCAGCCTCCTTGCTTTGTAGTCTTACTTTATCACACAGGTAATAATTAACAGGTGTAATGTAATTAGTAGGTTTTGAATATCCAGCTCTCACTGTTCATCACCGGATCTGCTGGGGGAGTGTCTGTGCTAACTAACTTCACTGTCCTGCAGGGGTACCTGACCTCACCCGTGTTATTGACATATACAGTATTACTATACTATAAAAATACCTGTCAGGATTGCGCGTTACTGATACGGATCGGTATTTTTGAAACACACACACACACACACGCACACAGCGGTGGTTTGTTTAAAATGTTATCAAAGTGGAGGAGCTGGGAGCACGGACTGGATCTTCTGGTTTGGGTTCCCTGGTCGGCGGCTTCCCTGATACTTTGAACAGTCCGTCCTCTCATTGTGCAACCGTCAGGTCCCCGGTGTGGGAGGGAAGTGAAATAATGGCGGCCGAAGTCTGTGTGGATCCTCTCTCTGGAACTGGGGTTTCTAAACGGAGTATTTCCAATGCCAATTATTGTGCGGGGTCATGTAGTAATTACGCGCTGTAATGAACAGGTGGCGAGAGACGTATGCCCTAATTGGGCAGATAGGAATTTTATAATGAAAACCTGCTAGTGCACACCCCCTCAGAGGAGGTGGGTGTGTGAGAACAGAGATCATTGGTTACGCGATGTGGCTGTAAAGGCACTCGCTTTGTGGGACCAGCCAGCAGTGGTTCCGACAACTGTCAGTCACTTTAAAATTCTTCCCTAGGTGGTCAGGGCTTTGGGACTAAAAATTCGTTCACTGAGTTAACTTTTTTGCATGTTCACAAAGACTGGTGGCCGAAATCTTGTGCAAAATCAGTGCGAAAGGCAAACCCATCTGCATGTTTTCAAATGCCCTCGAATCCTTGAACACACATTTCCTGCGGGTTTTGTGGGCTTTGGTTCCATGCCAGAAACTGAGGGTTCAAAAACTGACACTCCTTAGTCCTGACAGTGAATAGTATTGAAGAAAGACACATGCATCCAAACGCCCGATGTGCACACAGATCCGTGTGTGATTGATTGCTGCATGAGGGCACGGTCAAGTCTTGCCTGGTTAGCAGTGGGGGAGAGGGTGGTGCCCCAGCCCCTGGAGAGCGGAGAGGTCAAAGCGAGGCTTGCGTTGTTGGGGCTTGAATGACTTCAGCGGGATTCACGATGGGAGGTGGAACAGCCTTTGAGCCCAATCAGCCGTGAAACCGATCCGCTGATTTCTTCGTAGGACAACCCACCGTGTGTCATTCGCTGGATTCACGCCAGGTGTAGCTTTGTTAGAACATCAGCGTTCTTAAATTTCGCGTGGACTCGGCTCTGTGTCATTTCTGCCAGAGATCACGGAGGGGCCGGGCTTTCGGGGGCGGGCAGGCCGATCACTTGCAGCTGGCTGCTGTGCCGTGCTCTGCGGCGCGTGTCCTCTTTCCCCTTCTGCCCTCTTGCATAGCCTGCATTCTTCACTCACTCCCGGGAGACCCGGCTGCAGGGCCGGCTGATAAGAGAGGCCCTTCCCCGGCGCACGGTCAGGAGGCACACACGCATCTCCCGTGCCAGGGTTTTGGTTTTGTTTTCCTGATCCCTACAGATACCGCACACCTGGCCGGTAACGAGCGGCGTGAGCAGCAGCCTGGCCCCCTCGCCGCCTTCCTGCTGCTTGCATCCGGCTCTCTCAGTTTTAAAGCCCAGACAGTTGCAGGAAAGCAGGGTCGGAGTCCTGGGTAACCTCCAGTTATCTGACCCTGAAATGGCTGCCGTGTCTGAAGCTTTGCCAAGGCCGCGAGAACATGGATGTGGCTTAGAACAATGTGTGTTGTGTTGGCAGCCCGAGCCCGGACTGTCTGCCCTTGGCAGGTCCGAGAGATGACACAGGTGATTGGGAAGTTGACATGTGCTCACACACCAGAAGGATGAGGTCATGGGCTTGCTGCAGTGTGCGGCCTGTGAATTCTTGCCATGTGGCGTCCTTAAATTTGAGACTCAGACAATAAATCTGGCCGTTTAATTTTTAAAAACTAACATGAATCCACAGCCTTCATATCACCGATGTTAATTCAAATTAAGACCTCGAATCCGCTTGGTAATGTCCCTTTGAAATGGACCATGGGGAGATTTGCCTTCTGAGAGGCAGTGGGAGATGCTGGATTCTTAGAGCCAATTACTTTTATCGAAACAATTTAAAGGATAAATACGGACAAGCACCTTGGGGTTAGCTGTTTAGCTCGGGAGGCGGTGCCTGATTGCATTGTGTCAGTGATCTTTGAGAACGTGTAAAATGACTGATGAAGAAATGTCTCATTGTTACAATTTACGTGTGCAGGCATGCTGACAAGTCTCCACAGGCACACTTGCGTGTGCACATTGAGGTGTCTTCTTTGAAGTCATGATCCTGGATTCAAGGATCCCATTTCTAAATTTCCTACTTGGCCCTTTTGGGCCGAGGTTACACAAGGGACGTATTTAGCAATCCCCGTGAGCTGCCTGGGGGTCTTCAGCCTTTAAGAAATACTTTGGGCCGGCACCGCGGCTCACTAGGCTAATCCTCTGCCTAGCGGCGTGGCACACCGGGTTCTAGTCCCGGTCGGGGCGCCGGATTCTGTCCCGGTTGCCCCTCTTCCAGGCCAGCTCTCTGCTGTGGCCAGGGAGTGCAGTGGAGGATGGCCCAAGTGCTTGGGCCCTGCACCCCATGGGAGACCAGGAGAAGCACCTGGCTCCTGCCATCGGATCATCGCGATGTGCCGGCCGCAGCGCGGCGGCCATTGAGGGGTAAACCGATGGCAAAGGAAGACCTTTCTCTCTGTCTCTCTCACTGTCCACTCTGCCTGTCAAAAAAAAAAAAAAAAAAAAAAAAAAAAAAAAAGAAATACTTTGGCTTCCAACATACTTCATATTTACATCCTTCCTTTTATCTGGAACACAGCTCTGGGTGTCTCTCGGGACTCTGACCCCTGATGCTGTGGGGAAGTGAATCAGACGCCAAGGGGCAGGATCGAAGGGCACCTCTCTCTCTCTCTCCCTTTGCAGGCGGAGATGGACATGGTGGCCTGGGGCGTGGACCTGGCCTCGGTGGAGCAGCACATCAACAGCCACAGGAGCATCCACAACGCCATCGGGGACTACCGCTGGCAGCTGGACAAGATCAAGGCCGACCTGGTACTTTGCAGCGTTTCCTTGTGGGGGCCCCAGACAGAGCAGCAAAGGGTTGTATAGTTCTCTAGGTCAGGCGATTCTGCCTGAAGCACTGGGGGCTTCGTTCTTTCCCAAGAGACTGGAAGCTTCTTAGGATCCCATTTTATAAGTGGGGAAGTGGAATCCCATAGACCTACCAGAGATGGTGTTGACCCCGGGAGGAGTAATACAAACGCTCATTTCTCAGCACTTTGTAAGTCGGTGCTGGTGGGGTAGTCGTCTGTTTCTACAAAGAATAGAGCATCTCTTCCCATAGGAAAAAAAAATGCAGCCATCGTATAGTTTGTGTCTAAAACAGACTTCTGTCGAAAGAAATCCCGTCTCATCCTGTCCCCCACTCTCCTGCACTGAAAAAAAAAATCAGACCTGGAGCTGGGTTGAGATGACAGGCTGTGCTGTGAAGTGCTTGGGAAAGTAGCATGAAAGAAGACGTTTGTTTGGGGCAGATGTTTTGAGATCTATTTGCCTCGTCTGCGTCTTCTTCTGGAAGACTCTTTGCAGACATGGATTTCAAAAATGCTTTGGCACCAAAATAAATGTATTGTAAAGTAATTGCGTTTTCCATGGGCTTTTTGAAGTTCCCTTGGGTTAGTCTCCCAGTTACTTTGGTGTTAAAGCTACTCTCATTTCTTCCATATATATATGTAAACTTATTCCTGCCCACCTAGTATCTGACCAACATTCTCCCTCCTTTCTCTAAGATCAGGGGATCCTGACTTGTATTTTTAAACTTGTGAAAAAATTTGCCACAAGTGAGTCTTTAGGCGTCTGACCAGGACTGTACTGGCACTCCCAGGTCATTGAGGCTTTGCCTTCTGGCCACTGGGGAGCAGGGCCCTGTGTGTAATAAAATAGTTCACAGAGCCAACCCTTGTTTGTACGGGAGGCTCAGAGGCCAGCGTCTGTCAGAGGGGGCTTTAGCAAGGCCGCGTCTAAACCACAGAGGCACGGCGTGGATAAACACCTACCTGCTTTTTGTCATCTTCCAGCGTGAGAAGTCTGCCATCTACCAGTTGGAGGAGGAGTATGAAAACCTGCTGGTAAGCCCCTTCTTTCTCAGCCTCGCGTAGTGTCTGCCAGGGTCGACCCAGTTAGTCCCGTACGTGCCGAGCACCTGCTGGGGGTCCCCGCCGAGACACTGGCGGGGCCCGCACTTCCCTGCTCACAGATGAATTTTAGTTTCTTATTGCTGAAGACAGCACCCAGCTCTGTTGTGTTCCAGTGAAGTGTCCTGGAAAGGGCACAGTTAAAGCTTGTGAATTGCATTCTTTTGAGGAAGTATCAGCAAAAACAAAACAAACAAAAAAAAAACAAAAACAAAAACAAAAAAACAAAACAAAAAACCAAAACCAAAAACAAAAAAAACCCTGAAATCCTCATTTTCCTGAGATAAGTCGCCAGGCCATCGTCGTCACTGTCTTACGCAGACGTCTGTCAGTTACTTGTTCCTGAGACGCAGTCATGTGTGTCTCTTAACGACAGGCGTATGTGCTCAGGAACGGGTTGTGGGGCGGTTTCTTGGTTGCATAGTTGCCCTTAGACACACTAAGGTGGCTACTGTGTTGCTAGGCAGTAAACTCCCCCGCTGGCAGAGATGCTGTGTGACTGCTTCCGATTGTGTCACCTTATCCTCACTTTTTGAATACTTCCTTGTTGGCGCTGATACCGTTGAAACACCGAGGCTACTGGTGACACAGCAGTTTTCCCATGGAGGCCGGTGTGACTGGTGCCTGATAGCATCTCGAGTTTTAGGAGGGGAGCAGATGGTAGAAGGTTAAGAGCCCATTTCCCCCTGCATAGTCTAAATCTAAAGACTGAACCTCAGCGAGTTTCTGAATGCAGACCCTTTGGGGTCAGGACGTTGGACTGGATCTGAAGTTGCCGTCTTGTTCATCCCAAATGGGTCGGTCTCTTTCCCACCTCGGGCGGGGGGTGGTCCGTGAATGTGCGTGATTAATGGTATCCGTTCTGGCGGCCGTTTGGTGAGGGCGCCGCTCCCTGCTGGGTGCCGTTCTGACGCTGCCTTTGGACCTGCCGTGCAGAAAGCGTCCTTCGAGAGGATGGACCACCTGCGGCAGCTGCAGGGCATCATCCAGGCCACGTCCCGCGAGATCATGTGGATCAACGACTGCGAGGAGGAGGAGCTGCTCTACGACTGGAGCGACAAGAACACCAACATCGCGCAGAAGCAGGAGGCCTTCTCGGTACGCCCCTGCTTCCCGAGACCCCCTCTCTCCTGCCTGCAGCGCTGCTAAGATCGCAGAAGGCAGGGCTGGGTCACGTGGGGTCAGAATTGGCTCCTTCAGACAGCCCGGGGTCTGGCTCTGCAGCCAGAACCGGTACTCACTGCAGCTGGGTCACTCCTGCGCGCTCCTGGACAAGCCTTGTCGCCAGTCTGGTCCCAGCCCCGTCACATCCGCCAGTCTGAGTCTGGTCCCAGCCCCGTCACATCCGCCAGTCTGGTCCCAGCCCCGTCGCATCCGCCAGTCTGGTCCCAGCCCCATCACATCTGCCAGTCTGGTCCCAGCCCTGTCACATCTGCCAGTCTGAGTCTGGTCCCAGCCCCATCGCATCCGCCAGTCTGAGTCTGGTCCCAGCCCCGTCACATGGATCCCACGCATCCTTCCCAGCCTTAACGGTGCTCTGGTTCCCGAGGACAACTCCACATGGGTCTGTGGCTCTGCTCGTGTCCAAGCGCAGCCCTGTTTGTCTTCCTCCAGCTGCCGTGGGCGGGATGGAGGCCTAGTAGTGGCTTCCTGTAAAGGGTTTGTGTTTTCCTCTCGTTCCCAGATACGCATGAGTCAGCTGGAAGTCAAAGAGAAAGAACTGAACAAGCTTAAGCAGGAGAGTGACCAGCTTGTACTCAATCAGCACCCAGCTTCGGACAAAATCGAGGTGGGCTTCGCGGAAAAGGGCCCTCGCGTCAAGTGCGGTCCCTCTGGTGCAGGAGCGAGGGATGTTTTGCCTGCCAAGGGCCCTTTGGATATTTAACATCGCTCGTGGGCCATACACAGTTATCAACTTAAAAATTAGCCTGCTGTCGATTTATTGAATTTCGAGTCCCACCTGCCGTTCGCTTGGCCGGCAGGGCAGACCGAGTGGCTTTGCGAGCCTTGCGTGGTCTGCAGGCCCGCACGTTCCCACCCCCACAGATAGCTGAAGGAGTCTCCATCATAAAGCTGCGCCAGTTTTTTCTTCTATTTTGCATCAATCCCCTGGCCCAGGGTTGGCAAACATTTCTGGAAAACCCAGATAATAAATACTGGTTTTACTTATTATGATACGATGACTTGTGGGCCGTTTGGTCTCTGTCCCTGTGACTCGATTCTGCCCCTGTGTGGCGAAAGCAGCCCTAGACAGTCTGTAAATGAATGAGCATGGCTTGTTCCAATAAAGCTTTATTTACAAATACCGGATGTGGCCGTTGGACTGTAGCAAGTTGGCCTCTGCCAGAGACTGTTACCTGTGGGCCGTGCTCAAGGCCTAGTTCAGCTGGTAGCACTGATGTGGCCATACTGGTTGGACTGAAACTTCCATGTCAGTTGGTTGAGACTCACTGCCCTAGTTCCCCAAAGCCCTCTGCCTGGAGATGCCTCCAGTCTCCCCACGATCCCGCGACGGTCCAGGAGTAGCCCTTGCGGTAGCAGAGGGACCCTGTCCCGGTGTCATCCCCCGGGGGCTCGTTCTGATTGGTCAGTAGCTGCACCCTCCTCCTAATGGTACCAGTTTCTGAAAACTGATTTGAAAATCTAACTTCTGCTAAGCCAAGCAGGTGGGAAGTTCTGTTGTCCGTTTTTAGAAAAAAAGTTTGCTTGGCTGGGAATCGGATCAAGGGCTCTCCCGAGCTTCGCTCCGGCTCCCCCGCCTGCCCGGGCGCGTGCTCCTCGGAGCCCCTGCCCGGCCTCGTGGGTGAGCCTGCTGGTGCTTCCCTGCTGCAGGCCTACATGGACACTCTCCAGACGCAGTGGAGCTGGATTCTGCAGATCACCAAGTGCATCGATGTCCATCTCAAGGAAAACGCCGCCTACTTCCAGGTGTTTATACTTAATAATAGTTTTGTTGTTTTCGAGGTCTCACCAACCTTATGAATGTGTTTTAAACAGCACTGACATAAAAAATCTTGACAATATCGCGTGAATCCTGTTTTTCACGTTTCACTTTAGAGGAGCATAGATTTGTAGCCCGATGGCCAGTCCCTCTTGGTCTCCTGCGGTCTCTGATGTAAATTCTTCCTACCCCGAGCTTTCCCTGTAGCCACCTGCCAAAGAGCGACCTAGGGACGGTAGTTGTTGGAACAGAACCAGCAGAGGATGTTGTTTATTGCACTGCTTGTCCACTCAGTGCTGTTGCCGTCATCATCACTTTGAACTTGGGCCTTGCTTTCTTCCCCAACAGTTTTTTGAAGAGGCGCAGTCGACCGAAGCCTACCTGAAGGGCCTTCAGGACTCCATCAGGAAGAAGTACCCCTGTGACAAGAAGATGCCCTTGCAGCACCTGCTGGAGCAGATCAAGGAGCTGGAGGTATCGCAGCGCTCCCCAGCCCGGCTCACACTGCCGACGGGCACCAGTGCACCGTGCCGCCCACAGCCCAAGCAGGAGGCTCCCCCCCCCATAGTATTTAAGTGGCTTTCCCTTTTTTTTTTTTTTTTAAGATTTATTTATTTATCTGAAAGGCATAGTTACAGAGAGGCAGAGAAAGAGAATCTTCCATCAGCTGGCCACTCCCCAAATGGCCACAATGGCCAGAGCTGGGCCGATCCATAGCCAGGAGCCAGGAGCTTCTTCCAAGTCTCCCATGTGAGTGCAGGGGCCCAAGGACTTGGGCCATCTTCTACTGCTTTCCCAGGCCATAGCAGAAAGCTGGATCAGAAGTGGAGCAGCTGGGACTCGAACCAGTGCCCATATGGGCTGTCGGTACTGCAGGCTGTACCTGCTACGCCATAGCCGCCAGCCCATTAAGTGGCTTTTCTTAAAATGAACTTTCTGTCCTTGACCACTAGAGGGAGTTCCTTTTGCCTCAGTGTGGGGTAAATGGCTCTGAACAACAATGGAGAGAACACTGATTACTTAGCAGGACAATCCCTCTGGGAAAGCGTGCTTTATCGCTGTAGTCCTTTTAAACAAGGCTGTTCTTTCTGCCCACTTGATTCATGGCTGCAGAGCTCCTGGAGAGGCCTGCTGGGAAAGGTTCTCATATTTCCTGCTGACAACGTTGTGGCTTTTTTTTTTTTTTACCTGTAATGCAACTCTAGCACTGCTTAGTTTGCAGGGTTGTAGTATCTACGTTAATGCTGTTTGAAGATCCCCAGGGCATCGGCATTGAACTGCGGTTTTCTTTGCAATTGCAGAAAGAGCGGGAGAAAATTCTGGAATACAAGCGTCAGGTGCAGAACTTGGTGAACAAGTCCAAGAAGATTGTGCAGCTGAAACCACGCAACCCAGACTACAGGAGCAACAAACCCATTATCCTCAGGGCTCTCTGTGACTACAAACAAGACCAGGTGCGCTCAGCGGTTCAGGGTGATGCAGAAGTTGCCCCCTGCTTGACATAGCGGGAGTGGGGCGCCTCTTCTCTGCCCAGGGCCGTCTGGGTATTTATAACATCATTCACGGGCCGTACACAGCTATTAACCTAAAAGTGAGCCTGCTGCAGATTCACTGATAGTCCAGCCTGTGGACTCTCTTGGCAGGGCCAGAGCCTAAGGTTTTGGGGGGCTTTATACAGCCTGTGGGTTGACGTTCCCCATCCCTTACCTACAGATTCTTGTGAATCAAGAGAGCTGGATTTACCCCAGGTGACCATAAGCAACAGAGTCTGTGTCTTGTCTTTTATAGATGAAGTAGTAAACCATTCTGAATCATTAGCACAGTTGCTTTATGAGCTCCAAAAAACATTCTTTGGAAAGCTTAATACTTCTTTCTTCTTGCTTATCCAGCGTCTGTGCCTGTGGTCACCCTTACCTTTACCTGTCTGACAAAAGAGACGAGGAATGACGTGGTCACGGGGCAGTGCGTGTCGTTAGAACCCAGACAGTAGCCACGCCCACCGATTCCGCAGCCTCTGTGGGAAACTCATGCATTTTGTAAAGAAGGAAACCGGTTTCTAGGAATTACATGGTTTGCACAGCGCCTGTTAAATCAGGGAGAACTCAGAAATATAAAATGTGATCTGTTCGTTAGATAAACGTTTTATAAAGCAATAAAGATCAACTTTAGAAAACAATGGAATCTATCGTACTGGGCGGAAATATTGTCAGAAGTCGCATGGAAGGAGAAGGATGAGTAAGAAGTTAGCTGAAACGGAGATAAAAATACTCCGCAGGCAAAAAAAAAAAAAAAATACTCCGCAGGCAGGCTTGGTGCAGTCTATGAGCGAAGACGGTCGCCAAGGTTCAGGTCGCCGCTGGAGGAAGCTATCTCGTGCTGGAGTTAACTTTTAGAAAGTTGTTTTTCTGGAGACCCATACCAGAATGTTTTGGTTTTGATTTTAAAATTTTAGAGCAAATGAGTGAGACTCACTGGAGCCGGATATGTTTAATTCGCAGAAAAAGCAACAGGCTTGGAGGAGGCTTGCTCTGTGGAAGGATCTCCCCTTTACTCGTAGATCCCCTCTGATTTCTTTGCAAAACGCTTCTCCTAATTCGGTAAAAGGCGGCTCTCTTCCCGCACCTCTCAGCCTCACGTGTGTTGTTAAACCATCGGAGTCGCTGGGTTGTGCAGCCAGCAGCCGGCAGTTGGCACGTGTTCATCTCTGTTTCTTCCTCTGAGAAAAAAAATAAATCCCGACGCGTGCACCCGCGAACACGGCTGACCCGCAGGCTGCTTGCCTTCCAGAAAGTCGTGCACAAAGGGGACGAGTGCATCCTTAAGGACAACCACGAGCGCAGCAAGTGGCACGTGACGGGCCCCGGCGGCGTGGACATGCTGGTGCCTTCCGTCGGGCTCATCATTCCTCCCCCAAACCCGCTGGCCGTGGACCTGTCTGGCAAGTACGTTGGCGGCGCTCTCCGTAGCCGTGGCGTGAAGGGCGGGAGGAATTTTAGATGGTTGCAGGGGGCGGACATTTGCTGCAGAGGTTAAGGTGCCATTGGAATGCCTGTGTGCAAGTCCCAGCTCTGCCCTGATCCCAGCGTCCAACTAACAGTGCACACCCGGGAGGCAGCAGGCGGTGGCTCAGCCGGTGGGGTCTCTGCCACCCTTGTGGGAGACCTGGATTGTGTTCTTGGTTCCTGGCTCCGACCTGGCCCAGCTCAGCTGTTGTGGGCATTTGGGGGCGGTGAATCAGCAGATGGGAGATCTCTGTCGCTGTCTCTCTCTGCCTTTCAAATAAATAATTTAAAAACAATACATTTTTTGTAAAGTGAAAAAAAGAGAAGTTCATTACCAGAATGGCCTCCTGAAAAGGAACCTGTGACCGTTAGCTTCTCTGTGTCCCCGAGTTCTGTGTTGAAGACGCTGGTATTGTCGGAGGGTAGGAAAGAGTATCTGGCCATGGGCGCTGGGTTAAGACACCTCTTGGGAAACCTGCGTATAGGATCAGTGTCCGGGTTCAAGTCCCGGCCCCACTTCTGATTCCAGCTTCCTGATAGTGCACCCCTGGGGGGCTGCAGGTGGTGCCTCTAGTATTCGAGTCCCTCCCACCCATGTGGGTGGCCCCTGTTGAATTTTTGGCTCCTGGCTGTGGCCTGGCCCCATCCCTAGTTGTTGCAGGCAACTGGGGAGTGAACCAGTGGAGGAAGGATCTATGCCTGTCTGTCTGTGTCTCTGTGCCTTCAAGTAAATAAAAATAAATAAAATTTTAGGGCTGGCACCGTGGCTCACTTGGTTAATCCTCCACCTGTGGCGCCGGCATCCCATATGGGCACTGGGTGCTAGTCCCGGTTGCCCCTTTTCCAGGCCAGCTCTCTGCTGTGGCCCGGGAAGGCAGTGGAGGATGGCCCAGGTCCTCAGGCCCTGCACCTGCATTGTGGGCACCTGGCTCCTGGCTCCTGGCTTCGGATCAGTGCAACGTGCCGGCCACAGCGGCCATTGGGGGTGAACCAACGGAAGGAAGACCTTTCTCTCTGTCTCTCTCTCTCACTGTCCACTCTGCCTGTCCAAAAAAAAAAAAAAAAAAATCCATGCATAAGCAAAACCTTCAAAAATTTCATGGAAATGCATATCATGAAAAAACTACACATGGATTTCAAAAAAAATTTGGCACCAAAATAAACTTAGGTTTTAATTCCATTTTCCACAGACTTTTTGAAGTACCCTTGAAATATAAGTTACTTTTCAAAGTGCGTTTTGAAGTCCTAGAAAGTGAACCAGCAGATTGATGTCTCTTTACTGTAACTTTCAAATAAATCTTTTTTTTTTTTTTTTTTGACAGGCAGAGTGGACAGTGAGAGAGAGAGACAGAGAGAAAGGTCTTCCTTTGGCCGTTGGTTCAACCTCCAATGGCCGCCGAGGCCGGCCCCGCTGCGGCCGGCGCACCGCGCTGATCCGATGGCAGGAGCCAGGAGCCAGGTGCTTCTCCTGGTCTCCCATGGGGTGCAGGGCCCAAGCACCTGGGCCATCCTCCACTGCACTCCCTGGCCACAGCAGAGGGCTGGCCTGGAAGAGGGGCAACCGGGACAGAATCCGGCGCCCCGACCGGGACTAGAACCCGGTGTGCCGGCGCCGCTAGGCGGAGGATTAGCCTAGTGAGCCGCGGCGCCGGCCTGAGCTGCACATTTACAATGCCTCCCATATGACTGTGCGCTCTTCCGTAGGCAGGGTGTTCACTTCACAGGCTTCTGACCACAGGTTCTTGTTAAACCTTCTGTATGGGAATCATCAACCCCACATGGCATAGCGAGGAAAACCCCCCTGAGCTGTCGCTTACACACAACCGGTGCCCCTGCCACCCTGCCTCAGGCCTCTGTCAATGAAAAATTGCTGAGAAACAAAACAGGAAAAAAAAAATCCACCGCATATTGCAGCCAGAATGACCTGAGTGATCGAGACTATTGTACATACGCTTGAGATCACTTCTGGGGGGTACGGATGCTAACAGTTTCGGAAGTCGCACCTGTGCCTGTCGCTTTGTTAGGGATTGCTGTAAGCGTGGCCGGCTTCCTGCGGGCGGTGAGGCGTGGCTGTCTGGTTCTAGCGCCCTGTCCCTCTGTGCCTCCTAGGATTGAGCAGTACTATGAGGCCATCTTGGCCCTCTGGAACCAGCTGTACATCAACATGAAGAGCCTGGTGTCCTGGCACTACTGCATGATCGACATTGAGAAGATCAGGGCCATGACCATTGCCAAGGTGAGTCCTCAGTGCCCCCGGCTGCCTGCAGTGCGCCACTGCATCTCATCAGGAGAGAGCTCAGCCTTCCTGGAGGTGGGGGCCCCTCTCGCAGAGACCGGGAGGAGTCGGCGCGGGGCTGGTGAGGAGAGGACGCGAAGCACTAATTACCATGAGCTGAGAAGCCAGCGGCGTGGGTCCTCTAATTCTTGTTGGCTGCAGGGGGAAAGTTTGGTCACAAACCATTTCTGGTGCTCATGGGAGAAGGTGGGGTCACATTCATGGGACACCCCAAAGCATTAGTTGTTCTAATCCGTGGCTCTCAAGTTGTGGTCTGAAGAATCCCAGGTCCAGGGTCCTGTCGGGGTGACAGGAATGAACAAATGTAAGGAGGGGGCACAGAGTGGGCATGTTTTGAGGCCCCTGAGCCCCCTTTTTTTCTCATTAGCCAGAGCAGCTTTGTGTGCGGGCCTTCCAGATAGTGTTTCATTTGAAGAAGAGACGCCATGGGAGAAAATTGGAAAGCATTGAGGAGCAAGGTGTAGACGCTCCAAGACCTTTTATGTTGTAGCGGGCCACCGATGTGTGTCGCCTCCAGCCCGGTCTCGTGGGGACATTTTCCAGCCGGCTGTTCTTGGTGGCACTGCAGAGCCGGTGACACATCGCGAACCGCACGTGCCTGCTTTGTGCTTTTCCTCCAGCTGAAAACCATGCGGCAGGAAGACTACATGAAGACGATCGCCGACCTCGAGTTACACTACCAAGAGTTCATCAGGAACAGCCAAGGCTCAGAGATGTTCGGGGACGATGACAAGCGGAAGATACAGTCCCAGTTCACCGACGCCCAGAAACATTACCAGACCCTGGTCATCCAGCTCCCAGGCCACCCCCAGCACCAGACAGGTCAGCTGTGGCCAGCTCTCTCAATGCTTTGTGTAAAACTAGCCTCCGAGCCATTCCTTTGGAAGGTATTGTTTGCACCCCTCTTCGTGTTGCTAGAACCAAATTCCCAAAGCTGGGTGATTTGTCACGAAAAAGTTTCTTGGGCTCAGGATTCTGGTGGCTGGGAAGTCCACGTGGCCTGGTTTCTGGTGAGGGCCTTCCAGCTGCATCTTAGCTTGCAGAGCAGAAAGAGAAATGGCTGCAGGCAGGACGGGCCGGGAGTGTTGGTGCCCTCACTGTATAATAACCCCTTCTCGAGAGACCTAACCCACCGCTGAGAGAGGGGCTTCCGCCCTTCCCTGGGGTTGGTACCCGCAGTCATTTCCACCACTCTTCACCTCTTGCTGTAACACTAGCAACCAAGCCCCAGCACAGGCACTCTTAGGGACAGACCCCATCTGAGTCACAGCAGTTGTATGTATATTACAAGTTCAGAACCAAATCAAAAGAGTAGGTATGCTTCTAGGGAGTGTGGATGATGTTGGAGGCCTAGCGCCCTTGGCAGCCAGGAGTTCTGATTTCTGTGGTCCTCACTTGTTTGTGCAGTGACCACAACGGAAATCACCCACGTTGGTTCCTGCCAAGACGTCAACCATAACAAAGTCATTGAAGCCAACCGAGAAAATGACAAGCAGGAAACGTGGATGTTGTTGGAACTGCAGAAGATTCGCCGGCAGATGGAGCACTGTGAGGGCAGGATGGCCCTCAGGAACCTCCTCCTGACCGACCAGGGCTCCTCACACCACATCACAGTGAAGATCAACGAGCTCAAGGTAGGCACCGCCTGACGCTTGGCCTGGTCCATGTGCAAGCGAACAGAAATGCTGTAGGCGAGCAACATCGACCCTCAGGGACACGGACTTCCGGCAGGACCCCCCCCGCCTTCCCCTGTTTCCAAATTTGTCGAAGGTCCTCAGGAGGGGGTTAAGCCACCCTTGCTGATGGGTTGTGGGTCAGACTACTTTTCAGCCATTTGTCCTTTGTATGTTTCTCCTTTTGTTTATTTCAAAAGTTTTCACGAGCGTTAGATTGATAGGGGCACGAGGTGGAATTGCCTTTATAGATCGGGAACTGACATGGAGGGATTCGGTTGGTGGGGCGAGGTCCAGAAGCCATCGGCAGAGCCGCGACGTGGCCCAGGTGTGTCACCTCCTCTGCTCAGCCGTGTCCGGTGTGCCACATTGGAGTGTCCGAGTGAGGTGGTCTAAGTAAGAGGGCCATTCTCCAGTAAGAAACAAAGGGTCAGTTCTGCCTCTCTTTCTTGAATCCTTGACATTTAGTAGGATTTTCAAAGGTAAAAAATGATCCTAAGATTCATAGAGCTACTTCATGAGTGTCGTTGTGTGAGTTGTGGCACATACGCACACCACAGTGGAGTACTATTCAGCCTTGAAAAAGGAGGTACTTCCACGTGCAAGAACACGGACGAGCCTGGAGGATGTTGTGTTCAGTGAAATAAGTCTGGCACCAGGTGACGAATACCCCACGAGCCTACGCATGTGTGGAATCTTAAAGAAAGTCCACTGTGTAGGAACAGAGGGCAAAGTGGTGGCTGCCAGCAGTGAGGACAGAGAGGATGGGGAGGTGTAGATCAGAGGGTACACAAGGCAGCTATGGAAGGTGACGGATACGTTAACGTGTTCGCCTGTAGCAGTCATTTTGCTGTGTCTGTTGAAGTGGCGTATTGTACGTCAGAAATTTATTCACTAAAAAGAAATCACACCTCTCCCCTCCTTCGGAAGAGTGTGCAGAACGATTCGCAGGCACTTGCCGAGGTCCTCAACCAGCTGAAAGATATGCTGGCCAACTTCAGAGGCTCCGAGAAGTACTGCTACCTGCAGAACGAAGTCTTCGGGCTGTTTCAGAAACTGGAAAACATCAACGGCGTCACCGACGGCTACTTGAACAGGTGACCGCGGCGGCCCCGCCTCAGTGCTCTGCCTTTCGCAAGCTTCGCTCCCGTTAGACGTCCTTTGCATGCAGTATAAACGCTCTGCGTGCGTGATTGTTGGTCTCTTTCCTGGTGACTTACTTCCATTCTTCTGTGGTTTCGAGAGAATGTCCTCTAGTCTCCGGTAAATCCCACCATGCTGAAGTCTAGTGCATCCTAGAAGTGAGCTCTACTCCTAGGGCCATACCTTCTAATGCCCCAGGGAGTGCGAAATGTCTGCATCATGACAGAGAGGAAAAGGATACCGCTCCTGCAGCTCATAACATAGGCAAAATAAAATTTCATCGGCTCTAATGGGTCTGTCCGTTAATAGTGGTGAGAGCCGAGGGTTCCCCGTCTAATTGTGTCACTGGCAATGTTGTTCCTGCTTGTTCCAGCTTGTGCACAGTTAGAGCCTTGCTCCAAGCCATTCTGCAGTCTGAAGACATGCTGAAGGTTTACGAAGCCAGGCTCACCGAAGAGGAAACTGTTTGCCTGGACCTGGATAAAGTGGAAGCCTACCGCTGTGGACTGAAGGTAACTTGGAAGGCTGCGATCTGGAGCGGGCATTTGGTCTAGTGGTGAAGATGCCTGCATCCCACTTCAGAGTACCTGGGTTTGAGTCCTGGCTCTGGCTTCTGACTCCAGCCTCCTGCTGATGCAGACCCTGGGAGGCAGCAGGTGATGCCTCCTCGCTGTGGCCTGGCCCGGTCCTAACTTTAGCAGCATCTGGGGAGTGAACCTGCAGATGAGAGATTCCTGTCTCTCTGTCAGTGGCCAGTTTACAGGAAACTCAGTTCCCAGTTAGAAGCCTCACTAGGTTTTTGGGAGTTGTGAAGGTTTCCGGGTTCGTTGGGCATGTATGGTTGGTACCAGTCATCATCCCCTGAATCCATTTTCCAGACCAGGTTAGAGGAACTGTGAGTGATGTCAGAAAGTTTGTAGAAAACAGACTTAAAAGATAAGTTTATTTCAGAGAAAAAAAAAAAAAAGGAAAAAATGCTGAAACCCATGCATATGAGGGGCTTTCAGAAAGCCTGGGGACAGTGTGTTTTATGAAGAAAAAAATGCATGAATTTCAGATTTTTTTTGCATTCTAATAAATCTTTGAATTGAATTTTCCATGAACTCTTTGTCCTCTCGTGTTGGGACAAATAATTCCTGATGGGATTCGTCTGGGGAGCGCTGAGTGGAACTGCTACCTACTGCAGGACTTCCAAGGACCTTGAGTATCTGGATAGACGTAATAGGATTGGGGGTGGAACGTGACATGTTAGCATTTCTCCAAGTAATTCACACATTGCATCTTTTTATTTACTTATTTATTTTGAAAGTCAGAGTTGCAGAGAGAAAGAGGTCTTCCGTCTGCTGGTTCACTCCCCAAATGGGCGCACCAGCCGGCACTGGGTCAGGCCAAAGCCAGGAGTCAAGAGATTCATCCAGGTCTCCCATGTGGATGCAGGGGCCCAGGTACTTGGGCCATCTTCCACTGCTTTCCCGGGCCATTAGCAGGGAGCTATATTGGAAGAGGAACAGCCGAGGCTTGAAATGGCTCCTACATGGGATGCCGGCACTTCAGGCAGCGGCTTTACCCACTATGCCACAGCGCTGTTCCTGAATCTTTTTTGTTTGTTTTTTAAACAGGAACTATTTTTTAAACAGGACTATTACAACAAATCCTGGGAAATGCAATCTAATGACTCTGTTTTCCTGGATTGATTGTTGTCACTTAAAAATACGAATGGTGTCTTTTTACTCTCGCAGAAAATCAAAAACGACTTGAACTTGAAGAAGTCGCTGCTGGCCACCATGAAGACGGAGCTGCAGAAAGCCCAGCAGATCCACTCTCAGACTTCACAGCAGTATCCGCTGTATGACCTGGACCTGGGCAAGTTCAGCGAGAAAGTCACACAGCTGACGGACCGCTGGCAGCGGATAGAGAAGCAGATAGACTACAGGTGCGCCAGCCCCGCCCCGCTTGCCCCCGTGTGGTGGTCAAGCGGGTAAGGGCGTCCCAAGCAGCATCTTACACACTGCGCCCAACGGCTGCCCCAGGGTTGCTTTTCTCATGGACTGCCTCTGGGCAGCTCTGAATCAGAGATTGTATCGTGGTAGTCTTCCAGAACCTTCTGGAAACATCGAGAGCCATTAAACAGGCTCCTTGGTACCCTGTAAGCTCTTGTTATGACTGTTGGAAGGCACAGCTACTTAGAGTGAGCTTTTCCCGAAGTTTTATAAAAATGAATTCTTAGATAAAAGAAAAGCCTTATTGCAAATGAAAGCATAAAAAACTCCTGAATTGCGTTTTTACTGGCAGTGGCTTTTTAAAATGTTTTTATTTTGTTTTTAATTTATATGAAAGAGTGACAAGGAGAGAGAGACAGTGAAGAAGAGAGAGAGAGAGAGAGAGAGAGCTTCCATCTGCTGGTTCACTTCCCAAACAGCCACCATGGCCGGGGCAGAGCCAAACCGAAGCCAGAAGCCTGGAGCTCCATCCAGCTTTCTCACATGGGTCGCAGGGGTCCAAGTACTTGAGCCATCTTTTGCTGCTTTCCCAGGCCCCTTAGCTAGCATGGAGCTGGATTAGCAATAGAGTATCCGGGACTCGAACTGGTGCTCACAGGGAATGCTGGCATCACAAGCAGTGGCTTAGCCATGCTGGCCCCTTTAGCGGTGTTTCCAGAAAACTTTTCCATTGAGGTATAACTCACACACCATATAATTTACCTGCTTACAGTATATAATTCAGTGGGTTTTATTATATTCAGATCAGGCAGCTGCCAGTACCACCTGAATTTTCATCCTCCTAAGAAGCTGGTACCCAGTACTAATCCCTCTCCATTAGCTCACAACCCCCTAGCCCTCAGCAGTTACCAGTCAGTTTTCTGGCTCCGTAGATTTGCCTATTCCCGGACATTTCATGTAAGTGGACTCACATCGTGTATGGCCTTTTGTGACTGGTTTATTTCACTGAGGAAAAGGCTTCCAAGATTCATCCATGTGGTAGTGTGTTTCAGGACTTATTTTCTTTCTCATTGAATGTCTTTCATTCCTGTTAATGACCGGATGATTTTCTATTGTTTGTTTATACCGCATGCTGTGAATGCTTTCCACAGCTGATAGGTGGCCTGGGCTGTGTCCATTTGGGGGCCAGGAGTAAATATTGTTGCTGGGAACATTCATGCATAAGTTGTTGTGTGGGCAGATGTTTGCACTTCGCCTGGGTGTGCACCAGGTAGAATTTCTGGGTAACTGTACGTGACAGGAATAGTAACAGTGCTTCCAGAATTCTGTTATCTGTGTTTTCCCCAGGTTATGGGACTTGGAGAAACAAATCAAGCAACTGAGGAATTACCGCGATAACTACCAAGCCTTTTGCAAGTGGCTCTATGACGCCAAACGCCGCCAGGATTCCTTAGAATCCATGAAATTCGGGGATTCCAACACCGTCATGCGGTTTTTGAATGAGCAGAAGGTATAAGCCCACTTGTTCCACAGCTGTTTTGAAGTTAGCTCAGTGTAAACTGTGTTTCCCTTGGTGTTTACAGCAGTACCCAGGTTTTTTTTTTTTTTAAGATTTATTTATTTATTTGAAAGAGTTACACAGGGAGAGGAGAGGAAAGGCAGAGAGAGAGAGAGAGAGAGAGAGGGAGGTCTTCCATCCGATGGTTCACTCTCCAATTGGCTGCAATGGCCAGAGCTGTGCTGATTCGAAGCCAGGACCCATGAGCTTCTTTCGGGTCTCCCACGTGGGTGTAGGGGCCCAAGGACTTGGGCCATCTTCTGCTGCCTTCCCAGACCATAGCAGAGAGCTAGATGGAAAGAGGAACAGCCAGGTCTTGAACCAGCGCCCATATGGGATGCTGGCACCTCAGGCCAGGGCGTTAACCAGCTGTGCCACAGTGCTGGCCCCAGTACCCAGGTTTAAAATGATGAATATTTATATTATCCATCCATGTTGTCAATGTTTAAAGAATGTCCAGAGGAAAAGTAATTGAGATATTTATAAAGAAATGCAATTGTGAACATTAAAAAAGTACAGTGTATAAATGTAACATTGTTCTTATGTTATAATAAAGTTATCTTTGTAAATTGAGCACCCGGCAGCAGTGCCGATTAGGAAGAAGCCTCTTCTAGATAAAACGAAACTGAAGAGTTGCCTTCTGTTTGCTAAGCTGTAACTGAGAATATGAGACCAGTACAGGTAGTAACAAATCGAAGGACAAACTCAATCGTAGGAAATAAGCAAAAATCATATTTATTTAAAAATATTTGTATACTTAAACATTTACAAATATATTCTTTTTTTTTGTCTAGAACTTGCACAATGAAATATCTGGCAAACGAGACAAGTCAGAAGAAGTACAAAAAATTGCTGAGCTTTGTGCAAATTCAATTAAGGTATGTTGGTTTCACAAAGAATGTTGATGCTTCATCAAGAATATTATGGGCTGCATTATTTCAGAGTATCTTCAGAGCTGATAAGCTTTTTGAGGACAGCGATTATGGCTTTTTATATGTTCTCTCTGAAACAAACCAGTCACGTTTGTCATCCACGAACTTGACTTCATTGCTTGTTGACAGTGTTGATGGGAACAGGCTAGTCTTTAGACTGGTGGAGTGGTGTGTCAGAATTCTCTAACTAGCATACAAAGATGTATGGCTTGGTTGTACAGTGTCATTTTAGCCATGGGACAGTAGTGCCACATTATAGCCTTTGGGGTCGGTTCTTCAACATACAGTGTGCTGATTTAAAGCTGTGGCATTCTCGATGTGAGTGGCTCCTTTAGGCCCACGTAGGCTGTTTCTCCCTTAACTCTGTTCTTCCGCAGGACTACGAGCTCCAGCTGGCGTCATACACGTCAGGACTGGAAACTCTGCTTAACATACCGATCAAGAGATCCATGGTGCAGTCCCCGTCTGGGGTGATCATGCAAGAGGTACATGGCGCTTCTCTTGCTGTCTGCCTTCTTCAGTCTCCTCTTTTCCCTGTCTCTTGCCTGTTTTCCCTACAGTCTTGGACTCCGTCCCTCAAGTAGATTTGGCGGTTATGCTCCCTGCCTCCTGAGTCCACGTCATGTGGTACTTCTCAGGGAATGATCAGTGGCAGTCTTGAGTGTATCATTTATATGTTGCAGAATGCGGCTGAGGTTTCTTGCTTGGGGTGGGGGGAGACCTCTAGAGAGTGGAAAATATATAGAATGACAGCGTCTTCCCACGGACGTCAGAGGACATCACCTGTCAGACGGGCTTGCAGGAAGCAAGCCAGTGCCGAGGAAGGAATGCAAAGCTTTTGGCCTTTGTTGTGTTGTACCTCTAGGTTTCAGAACTAGCACATTCTAGAAAGGTGGGGAATTTACTCCTTAAATTAGACTGTTGGGGTCGGCGCTTGGCTCACTAGGCTAATCCTCCGCCTGCGGCACCGGCATCCATATGGCCACCGGTTCTAGTCCTGGTTGCTCTTCTTCCAGTCCAGCTCTCTGCTGTGGCCCGGGAGGGCAGTGGAGGATGGCCGAAGTGCTTGGGCCCTGCACCCCATGGGAGACCAGGAGAAGCACCTGGCTCCTGGCTTCGGATCGGCGCAGCCATTTGGGGAGTGAACCAATGGAGGGAGGATCTTTCTCTCTCTCTCTCTCTCTCTCTCTCACTGTCTGTAACTCTGTCTGTCAAATAAATAAATAAAATCTTAAAAAAATTATAATAATGTTACTATTATGTTATTTTTACAAAAATAAAATTGGCCAAAGTGAACTTTTTTGGGGATTTGATCTGATCTGATTTGATTAATTAATTTTTCCTCTCCTTTTCTTCCAGGCTGCAGACATCCATGCTCGGTACATAGAGCTACTGACAAGATCTGGTGACTATTACAGATTCTTAAGTGAGATGCTGAAGAGTTTAGAGGACCTGAAGGTAACTCCCTTCCATATTTCTTTGGTGCACCAAAGAAACAAAAAGAGGATTGAATATTATTCTGGTTGTCTTGTTGTAAGGAAAATTTAGACATACAGTTACAACTGTGTGTCCTCTAAATATCGAGTATAAAATTCAGTTTGTTCCTAAGTCAAGGATCAGGCCCGTGCTCCAAAAGACTGCCTTACGTGGATTTCGGGGATCGTTATCAAATGGCAGTTAATTTGCTTTGTCTTTTGTGTAAAATTTGGAAAGGCATATCCTGGGCTGGCTGGATTTAAATCTTCCATGGTGAATGCTTGCCCAATTTACTCTTCATTTCTAATAGTGGAGTGAGAGTTTCTAAGGAAGCTTACTTTATAACATAAAAGGAACATCAGATGTGGAGCCATAAGCTTTTGGTCTCGCATGAAATTACCTCATTTTACTGATCAGGAAGCTGAGACTCAAGCAGGATATATCATTTGCTAAAATCAGGCCAACCAGCAACTGATGGAAAAATGACCATGAGGATCCAGATTTCTCGAGTTGTTGTCTAGCAGTTAGTTTTTCCTTGGATCACGCTCTACACATGTGTGTGGGTGTGGAAAAAGAAGTGTGCACAGTGGCCTGGGAGGAGGGGGGAGCTGCCGCTTTCTTGTGGTGTGAGCGCAACATAATTCCTGCTTTCCCTTCCGCAGCTGAAAAATACCAAGATTGAGGTTCTGGAAGAGGAGCTCAGACTGGCCCGAGATGCCAATTCGGAAAACTGCAATAAGAACAAATTCCTGGATCAGAACCTGCAGAAATACCAGGCAGAGTGTTCCCAGTTCAAAGCGAAGCTCGTGAGCCTGGAGGAGCTCAAGAGGCAAGCGGAGCTGGACGGCAAGTCAGCCAAGCAGAACCTCGACAAGTGCTACGGCCAAATCAAAGAGCTCAATGAGAAGATCACCCGGCTGACTTACGAGATCGAGGACGAGAAGAGAAGGAGAAAGACCATGGAGGACAGATTCGACCAGCAGAAGAGCGACTATGACCAGCTGCAGAAGGCCAGGCAGAGCGAGAAGGAGAGCCTTGGCTGGCAGAAGCTGGAGTCTGAGAAAGCCATCAAGGAGAAGGAGTACGAGATAGAGAGGCTGAGGGTTCTGTTGCAGGAGGAGGGCGCCCGGAAGAGAGAATATGAAAATGAGCTGGCAAAGGTAAGAAACCACTATAATGAGGAGATGAGTAATTTAAGGAACAAGTATGAAACAGAGATTAACATTACGAAGACCACCATCAAGGAGATATCCATGCAAAAAGAGGACGATTCCAAAAATCTTAGGAACCAGCTGGACAGGCTGTCCAGGGAGAACCGCGATCTGAAGGACGAGATCGTGCGGCTCAACGACAGCATCCTGCAGGCCACCGAGCAGCGGCGGCGGGCGGAGGAGAGCGCCCTGCAGCAGAAGGCCTCTGGCTCCGAGATCCTGCAGAAGAAGCAGCACCTGGAGGTCGAGCTCAAGCAGGTCATCCAGCAGCGCTCGGAGGACAACGCGCGGCACAAGCAGTCCCTGGAGGAGGCGGCCAAGACCATCCAGGACAAAAACAAGGAGATCGAGAGACTCAAAGCTGAGTTCCAGGAGGAGGCCAGGCGCCGCTGGGAATATGAGAATGAACTTGGTAAGGTAAGAAACAGTTACGATGAGGAGATCATTAGCTTAAAAAACCAGTTCGAGACGGAGATCAACATCACCAAGACCACCATCCACCAGCTCACCATGCAGAAAGAGGAGGACACGAGCGGCTACCGCGCACAGATAGACACCCTGACCCGAGAGAACCGGAGCTTGTCGGAAGAGATCAAGAGGCTGAAGACCACCCTGTCGCAGACCACCGAGAACCTCCGCAGGGTGGAGGAGAACGTGCAGCAGCAGAAGGCGACCGGCTCAGAGATGTCGCAGAGGAAACAGCAGCTGGAGGTGGAGCTGCGGCAGGTCACTCAGATGCGCACGGAAGAGAGCCTGCGCTACAAGCAGTCCCTCGACGATGCTGCCAAGACCATCCAGGACAAAAACAAGGAGATCGAAAGATTAAAACAGCTGATCGACAAAGAAACCAACGAACGCAAGTGCCTGGAGGAGGAGAACGCGAAACTGCAAAGGGTCCAGTACGATCTGCAGAAAGCAAACAGCAGCGCCACCGAGGCGATGGGCAAGCTGAAGGCTCAGGAGCAGGAGCTAAGCCGGCTGCGGCTCGACTACGAAAGGGTCTCCCAGGAGAGGAGCGTGAAGGACCAGGACATCGCGCGGTTCCAGGGCTCCCTGAAGGAGCTGCAGGTGCAGAAGCAGAAGGTGGAGGAGGAGCTCAGCTGGCTGAAGAGGGCAGCCTCGGAAGACTCTGCCAAGAGGAAGAAGCTGGACGAGGAGCTGGAGGCCATGCGGAGGTCTCTGAAGGAGCAGGCCGTCAAAATCACCAGCCTGACCCAGCAGCTGGAGCAGGCGTCCATTGTCAAGAAGAGGAGCGAGGACGAGCTCCGGCAGCAGAGGGACGTGTCGGATGGCCACCTGCGGGAGAGGCAGAGGGCTCAGGAGGATCTGAGGAGGCTCTCCTCCGAGGTCGAGGCCCTGCGGCGGCAGCTGCTCCAGGAACAGGAGAACGTCAAACAGGCTCACTTGAGGAACGAGCACTTCCAGAAGGCGATAGAAGATAAAAGCCGAAGCTTGAACGAAAGCAAAATCGAGATCGAGCGGCTGCAGTCGCTCACGGAGAACCTGACCAAGGAGCACCTGATGCTGGAGGAAGAGCTGCGGAACCTCAGGCTGGAGTACGACGACCTGCGGCGGGGCCGGAGCGAGGCGGACAGCGACAAAAACGCCACCATCTCCGAGCTCAGGAGCCAGCTGCAGATCAGCAACAACCGAACCCTGGAGCTGCAGGGCCTGCTTAATGATTTACAGAGAGAGAGGGAAAATTTGAGACAGGAAATTGAGAAATTCCAAAAGCAGGCTTTAGAGGTATTCACAAATATTTGATCACAGCTTCACTGTTTGTCAGATGACGTAGTGCACTCTCAGCTGAACTGTGCTCTTGCTACTCACATGGATGCCTCTGCATGTCCTCATTTCCCTTCTGTTCTGCTGCTGCTTGCCGTAATCCAGATAACCGCTTTACGATGACGTCACGGCTTGGCTTGGCTTGCCCTTCTGTTCTGCCACTGCTTCCAGGGCCAACCTGTATGCAGCATGTTTGGCTGCGCGTTTAAGAAAGTCTGGGATGTGAGATCGCGTCCTCCTAACGTCCCACTCTTTCGGGAAGACAGCTCTCGTCTAGTGATCTGCGACTTCCCTTATGCCATGTAAAACCACTCTTGCTTGCTTGCTTAGATGATTTTCCTGCATGCGTTCCTGTTCTCTTTTCATCATGACCTTAATGTGTTTCTTACTTGGTTTTGCCGTCTTTTAACTCCTAATATAAAAATAATTTTTAATTTCTAATATATTTGACCTCTGTAGACAATATTTGTGTGGGGCTGGGTGGGGTGTGTGTATACCTGTGTATATGTGTATTGTTTTATTAAATGTGGTAGAATAGCTATGGCTGGTGAGATGTGGTTCAGGGCAGGTAGGATGACGAAACTCCCCATGTTTTTTAAAGCATAATGATTAAGAATAAGACAGTTCAACAGTTCCTTTATGGAAATCTAAAGTATGAAGCCACTTATAAGAGTGGCAAATACTCATAAATCTACAGAATTTTTCCATGAATCCATAAGATAACTAACAATATATCCAGAAAAAACAGGAAAGATAATTATACATGTTTGTTTTTTTTAAAGATAGGAAGAGATTAAATTGTGGTAGTCATGCTATGATCAAAGCATTATTTTTTTCTCTTTTCTTTCTTTTTAAATTCTAGGCATCTAACAGGATTCAGGAATCAAAGACTCAATGCACTCAGGTAGTGCAGGAGAGAGAGAGCCTCCTGGTGAAAATCAAAGTCCTGGAGCAAGACAAGGCCAGGCTGCAGAGGCTGGAGGATGAGCTGAACCGCGCCAAAGCAACGCTCGAGGCCGAAGCCAGGGTCAAACAGCGCCTGGAGTGCGAGAAACAGCAAATCCAGAACGACCTGAATCAGTGGAAGACGCAGTACTCCCGCAAGGAGGAGGCCATCCGGAAGATAGAGTCAGAGAGGGAGAAGAGCGAGCGCGAGAAGAACAGCCTTCGGAGCGAGATCGAACGGCTCCAGGCGGAGATCAAGCGGATCGAGGAGAGGTGCAGGCGCAAGCTGGAGGACTCCAGCAGGGAGACGCAGTCGCAGCTGGAGACGGAGCGCTCCCGCCTGCAGAGGGAGATCGATAAGCTCAGGCAGCGCCCCTACGGGTCCCATCGCGAGACCCAGACCGAGTACGAGTGGACCGTCGACTCCTCCAAGCTGGTGTTTGACGGGCTCAGGAAGAAGGTGACGGCCATGCAGCTCTACGAGTGCCAGCTGATTGACAAGACGACCCTGGACAAACTGTTGAAAGGGAAGAAGTCGGTGGAAGAGGTTGCTTCTGAAATCCAGCCTTTCCTTCGGGGTGCAGGGGCCATCGCGGGGGCGTCTGCCTCTCCCAAGGATAAGTATTCCTTGGTAGAGGCCAAGAGAAAGAAGTTGATCAGCCCAGAGTCCACGGTCATGCTCCTGGAGGCCCAGGCAGCTACTGGCGGCATCATCGATCCCCATCGGAACGAGAAACTGACCGTGGACAATGCCATCGCTCGGGACCTCATCGACTTTGACGACCGGCAGCAAATCTATACAGCAGAGAAAGCCATCACCGGCTTCGATGACCCATTTTCAGGCAAGACAGTATCTGTTTCGGAAGCCATCAAGAAAAATTTGATTGACAGGGAAACTGGAATGCGCCTGCTGGAAGCCCAGCTTGCTTCCGGGGGCGTCGTAGACCCTGTGAACAGTGTCTTTCTGCCGAAAGATGTCGCTCTGGCCCGTGGGCTGATTGACAGAGATGTGTATCGGTCCCTGAATGATCCCCGAGACAGTCAGAAAAACTTTGTGGATCCAGTCACCAAAAAGAAGGTCAGCTACCTGCAGCTGAGGGAGCGGTGCAGGATCGAGCCCCACACGGGCCTGCTCTTGCTGTCAGTACAGAAGAGAAGCATGTCCTTCCAAGGAATCAGACAACCCGTGACCGTCACCGAGCTGGTGGATTCCGGCATCCTGAGACCGTCCACCGTAAATGAACTGGAATCAGGTGCGATTTCCTACGACGAGGTCGGAGAGAGGATTAAGGACTTCCTCCAGGGTTCAAGCTGCATAGCAGGCATATACAATGAGACCACAAAACAGAAGCTTGGCATTTATGAGGCCATGAAAATTGGCTTGGTCCGACCTGGGACGGCTTTGGAGTTGCTGGAAGCCCAAGCCGCAACTGGCTTTATCGTGGATCCCGTGAGCAACCTGAGGTTACCCGTGGAGGAAGCCTACAAAAGAGGTCTGGTGGGAATTGAGTTCAAAGAGAAGCTCCTGTCTGCAGAGCGAGCTGTCACTGGGTACAACGACCCCGAGACGGGAAACATCATCTCTCTGTTCCAAGCCATGAACAAGGAACTCATCGAAAAGGGCCATGGCATCCGCTTACTAGAAGCGCAGATCGCAACCGGCGGGATCATTGATCCGAAGGAGAGCCATCGCTTACCGGTGGACATGGCGTACAAGAGGGGCTATTTCAATGAGGAGCTCAGTGAGATTCTCTCAGACCCAAGTGATGATACAAAAGGATTTTTTGATCCCAACACTGAAGAAAATCTTACATACCTGCAACTCAAAGAAAGATGCATCAAGGATGAGGAAACAGGGCTGTGTCTTCTGCCCCTGAAAGAAAAGAAGAAACAGGTGCAGACGTCGCAAAAGAACACCTTGCGCAAGCGCAGAGTGGTCATAGTGGACCCGGAAACCAACAAGGAGATGTCCGTGCAGGAGGCCTACAAGAAAGGCCTCATTGATTACGAAACCTTCAAAGAGCTCTGTGAGCAGGAGTGCGAGTGGGAGGAGATCACCATCACTGGGTCAGACGGCTCCACCAGGGTGGTCTTGGTCGACAGGAAGACAGGCAGTCAGTATGACATCCAGGATGCGATTGACAAGGGCCTGGTCGACAGGAAGTTCTTCGATCAGTACCGATCTGGCAGCCTCAGCCTCACCCAGTTCGCTGACATGATCTCCTTGAAAAACGGGGTCAGCGCCAGCAGCGCCGTGGGCGGGAGCGTCAGCGACGACGTGTTCAGCAGCTCCCGCCATGAGTCCGTCAGTAAGATCTCCACCATTTCCAGCGTCCGAAATCTGACCATCAGGAGCAGCTCCCTGTCCGATCCGCTGGAGGAGTCGAGCCCCATTGCGGCCATCTTCGACACGGAGAACCTGGAGAAGATCTCCATCACGGAAGGCATAGAGCGGGGCATCGTGGATAGCATCACGGGGCAGAGGCTGCTGGAGGCGCAGGCGTGCACGGGCGGCATCATCCACCCCACCACGGGCCAGAAGCTGTCGCTGCAGGACGCCGTCGCCCAGGGCCTGATCGACCAAGACATGGCCACCAGGCTGAAGCCCGCGCAGAAGGCCTTCATTGGCTTCGAGGGCGTGAAGGGGAAGAAGAAGATGTCGGCGGCGGAGGCGGTGAAGGAAAAATGGCTGCCCTACGAGGCGGGGCAGCGCTTCCTGGAGTTCCAGTTCCTCACGGGCGGCCTCGTTGACCCGGAAGTGCATGGGAGGATAAGCACGGAGGAAGCCATCCGCAAGGGGTTCATCGACGGCCGAGCCGCCCAGAGGCTGCAAGACACCAGCAGCTACGCCAAAATCCTCACCTGCCCCAAAACCAAGTTAAAGATTTCCTACAGGGATGCCATGAATCGCTCCATGGTGGAGGATATCACCGGGCTGCGCCTTCTGGAAGCCGCCTCCGTGTCGTCCAAGGGCTTGCCCAGCCCCTACAATATGTCCTCCGCGCCCGGCTCCCGCTCGGGCTCCCGCTCGGGCTCCCGCTCCGGATCCCGCTCCGGATCGCGCTCCGGGTCGCGCAGCGGGTCCCGGAGAGGAAGCTTTGACGCCACGGGAAACTCCTCCTACTCCTACTCCTACTCCTTCAGCAGTAGCTCTATAGGGCACTAGTAGTCTTGCAAAAGGTTGCTGTGTCTTTGGCCTCATTTCTATGAGTTTCCACTTGATTAGATAATAAAAATAAGAGAACCTGGTGCTTGCGATATAGTGGTAGAACTTCCTGTGCTTCAAGAAAACATAGCCGTGCTTGAAATCACATAGCGAAGGCTGTTTCATCTTTTTAGCTCATCTGATGTAGTACGCTTGGCTGTAGTGTGTGTGAAATGATGATCAGCTGTAAGGATAGCACAAATTGAAGTTAAAATTTGTTTCTTCTCTGTTTAGATTTCTGGTCACTTCTTGAGCTTTTTTGGGGACAGAATTTCTATTCCTGGAGAGAAAAACTGATCACTGATTTTAGTCATTCTGTTGCTCATCTAAATATTTTCATTTTCTATATTAAGAGAAAATTACACCCCCTCCCAGCCCACCCCAAACCCAAGCATTTTAGAGTGAGTCTTTTAGTTTTAGAATGTGGATTGTATAACCCATACACTCTTTCATATACTTGTTTGGTTTGGTATTAATTTGACTATATGTGCATGATAGCAGCAGTCTTTGCTTTTCTTTGGTCAAAGTTTTCTGTTTATTTTGCTTGACATTGTCTATGTACTTTAAAAAGGTATCTTTGTGAAGTTTGCAATTCTGGCAATAAACTTTTAGACTTTTGAAGCTTTTGTGTTTTTATTTATTAGGTTGCCCATACAAGGGCATTTTGCAGCCGGTTTTAATTTAAAATAGATCTAAAACCACTTTCTCACTAAATACCTGTTAAAGACCTTAAACAATTTTAGTTCAGAATTCTTGCTAGAAGGAGGTCTTTTGAAGTTGGTTCTTCTAGCGTTTCTTAAGTGTATGTTGTACACTTTCCTTAGAAATGAGCTTGTACATATAGGCAACCTAGTTTATTCTGGACAGTGAGTGTCAAGTAGCATTGGCAAAAGTCAGCTTCATAGCCTTGAAGAAAAAAAGCCGTAAAAATGACTTGAATTCCTTTTTCGGGTGTCTTCAGAATAGAAAGTGTTTAAATTTGTCCCCTAAGGGAAAAAAAAATTGTTCTTCAATCTATGAAAAGGATTCCAGGAGAATTCTTGGTTCTCTGTTGGATGGCAGTGTTCCTTTTAATCAAAGATAAATTTTTGAAACTCAGAAATTTGTCATTAAATCTAACATTTTACTGAATACCTATGATATTGAGTATTGAGCTAGGTACTACAAAAATTCAGTGGAATGTAGACGCTCCCTAACTGCAAGTTATTTCCAGATAGAAGGGGCCAGAAGACATGCATAAAGCAATCAGCTTTCACGTGCCAGCAGCGTGTGTTCATACAATAAAGACATGGTGCAGAGAGAAAAGAAGGAAGCAAATCAAATACTACTTGTAAGAATCCAGAAGGCCATCAAGATGGGATAATACTTCAATTATCGGGGGTTTTTGGCATTGAGACCGGAAGTCCACTGCACTGTTATTGAACAGGCCAGTTTTCCTTCAGAGCACTCATTTCATCCTCAACTCGCCTGTTCTCACACCTCATTCCTAATTTAGACGGCTTGAAATTAATTTCATTCAAGCCGGCGCCATGGCTCACTAGGCTAATCCTCCGCCTAGCGGCGCCGGCACACCGGGTTCTAGTCCCGGTCGGGGCGCCGGATTCTGTCCCGGTTGCCCCTCTTCCAGGCCAGCTCTCTGCTCTAGCCCGGGAGTGCAGTGGAGGATGGCCCAAGTGCTTGGGCCCTGCACCCGCATGGGAGACCTGGAGGACGCTCATGGCTCCTGGCTTTAGATCGGCGCAGTGCACCGGCTGTAGCGGCCATCTAGGGGGTGAACCAACAGAAGGAAGAGTTTTCTCTCTGTCTCTCTCTCTCACTGTCTAACTCTGCCTGTCAAAAAATAAATAAATAAATTATTATTTAGTAGGTTCCAGTTAGTAGAGCATGAGACTTTTTTAAGTCTCTCTCTCTCTCTCTTTTTTTTTTTTTTTTTTTTTTTTTAAGATTTACTTATTTTATTTGAAAGGCTGAGTTTCAGAGAGGTGGGGCAGGGGGCTGCATTTCATTTGCTATTTCACTCCCCAGATGGCCACAATGTTCGGAGCTGGGCCGATCAGAACCCAGGAGCCTGGAGCTTCTTCCAGGTCTTCCACATGGGTGCAGGGGCCCAAGGACTTGGGCCATCTTCCACTGCTTTCCCAGGTGCATTAGCAGAGAGCTGGACCAGAAGTGGAGGAGCTGAGCCTTGAACTAGCGCCTGTATGAGATGCCAGCACTGCAGGCAGCAGCTTTAGCCGCTACGCCACAGCCACAGCCCCATGGGGAGGGGGAACTTTTCTTCATGGCTCGTAGATAACTGCCTTCTGATATGCTTGCGTTTTTTTCCCTCTGTGTGTATGCAGAGAGAGATGGGAGAGAATGCACTCTAGTGTCTCTCATTGCAAAGTTAAGGCCCCATGCATAAAACCTCATATTTAACTCCGATGATCTCTTTAAGGGCTTATCTCCAAATCCAGTCACATTGCACATGATGGGTTAGGATTGCAATGTACAGATTTTAAGGGACCCAATTCAGTCCATAACAGCTCTACCTAGAACGGGTCTGGAGGCCTTTCCATGAATATGATGATTAAACATGTTAGTGACATCAGTGAGCAGTTCCTCAGGTTTAAATAATAGCAACGGAGTATAATCAACTGACAAATCTTTACTAGCCTCCACGAACTACCTAATTTGAGAAGAAAGGTCTGTGTCCTGGAGAGAGGACATGTTTGACCCAATTCAGGCTGAGTTTTGGGTAGATTGACATACACAGTGCATCACAGAAAAGGGAAATATACATCCAATGAGAGTCAGCTTGTCACATCTACAACTAGTCTCACATTTTCAGACAATTTGACTACCCATGGAAATGGCAGCAGTATGAATATATGACTTCTAAACTCATGCCTTAACCCACGTCTGCTGGCAGCTACCGGCCCACTTCCATATTTGATGGTACTGACTGTACTATTGTCACAATTTTTCGTTTTGAGAGTAGTGCTACGATTGTCCCTCATTACCAGTGGGCAATACCAAAGTCTGTGGATGCTCAAGTCCCTTTTATAAAATGCTGTAGCATTTGCATGTAACTCAAGTACAACTTCCTATGTACTTTTTTTTTTAAAGGTTTATTTATTTATTTGAGAGGCTGAGTTACAGATAAGAGAGAAGGAGAGAGAGAGAAAGGGGTGCCATCTCTGGTTCACTCCCTAAATGGCCACAATGGCCAGAGCTGGGCCAAACTGAAGCCAGGAGCCAGGAGCTTCTTCTGAGTCTGCCACGCAGGTGCAGGGGCCCAAGCAGTTGGGCCATCTTCTACTGCTTTCCCAGGCCATAGTGAGCCGGATTGGAAGAAGAGCAGCCAGGACACAAACCGGCACCCACTATGCCACAGCACTGCCACCTCCCCTTATACTTTAAATCATCTTTAGATTACTTATGATGCCTAATACAATGAATGCCACGTAAGTAGATTGTTTAGCGAGTCATGACAAGAAAAACCCAAAATATAGACCCATTTTTTTCTTTATTTAAAAATTATTTTTTATTAATTTGTAAGGCAGAGAGAGATCACTCATCTGCTGGTTCACTCCCCAAATGCCGGCAAAAGCTAGTACTGGGCCAGCCCAAAGCCAGGAGCCAGGAACTCAATCAGGGTCTCTCATATGGGTGGCAGGGACCCAACCACCGGAGCGCTCACCACTGCTCCTCAGGCTGCTTGTTAGCAGGAAGCTGGAATAAAGAGCAGCGCTCAGGACTCCAACTAGATATGCAATGTTGTTGGCCATCGTTGTCTTTACTGGCGGTAACAATTCAAAAACGAAGTTGGGCAAGGCAATTTTAAGAGTAAAAGGGGGCCGGAGCCACGGCTCAATGGGCTAATCCGGCACACCGGGTTCTAGTCCCGATCGGGGCGCCAGATTCTGTCCCGGTTGCCCCTCTTCCAGGCCAGCTCTCTGCTGTGGCCAGGAAGGCAGTGGAGGATGGCCCAGGTGCTTGGGCCCTGCACCCCATGGGAGACCAGGAGAAGCACCTGGCTCCTGCCCTCAGATCAGCATGATGCGCTGGCCGCAGCGGCCGTTGGAGGGTGAACCAACGGCAAAGGAAGACCTTTCTCTCTGTCTCTCTCTCTCACTGTCCACTCTTCCAAAAAGAAAAAAAAAAAAAAAAGAGTAAAAGGGACAATAACCAAGTATAACTGATGGGTGGGAAAAAATAAAGTTAGCACAAAAGGAATTTGAGGGACAAGTGGGGGAATGAATATGAATTGTATGAAATAATTTTATGGAATTATTAATTTTTAGGTTTGCTCATGCATTGTGGTGACACAGGAAAATGTTTTAAAGAATTTTTGAAAGGCAGAGTTACAGAGAGGCAGAGGCAGAGAGAGGAGAGAGGTCTTCCATCTGCTGGTTCACTCCCCAGATGGCCGCAATGTTTGGAGCTGGGCCGATCTGAAGTCAAGAGCCAGGAGCTTCTTCCAGGTCTTCCACATGGGTGCAGGGCCCAAGGATTTGGGCCACTTCCACTGCTTTCCCAGACCATAGCAGAGAGCTGGATTGGAAGTGTAGCAGCCGGGACTTGAACAGGCGCCCATATGGGATGCTGGCGCTGCAGGCGGCGGCCTTACCGCTATACCACAGCGCCAGTCCTAGCCCCAGGAAAACGCTCTTATTCTGAGGACGTGTATGCCAGCATGTTTAGGGGTGAAGAATCTGCAACTCGCTTTCAAATAATGAGAAAACACGCGTGGGGCTGTGTATGACAGTAGACCAAGAGAAACCAAACGTGGCAAAACGTTAATGAGCTTAAAGACATGTAACTAACACTCCCTGTACTATTTAAATTTCCTGTCGCTATAATCCATTTTTTCCAACAAAAAAAAATTGGGGAGAAGCTGGTACAGCGCTCAGGAAAAACCAACAGCTAAAGCACCAGACCGGCAGACGGGAAGTCACTTCCGGCTGCCCCGCAAAACGTCCCTGGAAACGACAACTCCCGCCCTTCCTGTGACGTCTCCCGATAGGCCGTTCCAGTCACGTGGCGGGCGTGGCCACGCCCACAGTTCCCAGAGGCCCCCGCGCGCCGCGGTCAGCTCAGCGACTTCCTGCCGGCGAATGGGCAGCGGCCATGGCGGGCGAGCCGCCTCCGCTGGAGGAGCGCCGACGGCTGCGGGAAGAGCTGAGCGAGTTCGTGGAGAGCTGCTGCCGGACGCTGGAGGAGGTGACGGCGTCGCTGGGCTGGAGCCTGGAGCAGCTGGCTGGCGGGGAGGAGGAGGCGGCGGAGGTGAGCGGCGCGGGCTCGGGGCGGGGCAGCGCTGCCGGCCGCGGAAGGCTGTCGGAGATTCGCTCCTCCGCAGCGCGGGGGTGGGCAGCCGAGACCCTAGAGACGGCCCCGACGCCCCCGGCGGGGCCCACGAAGGCCCTCGGGCGCTCGGAGCCGCCCTCCGCGCGGGCTGTTCCTGAGGGACACGGGACGGGGCGGCGGGGGCGGAGGGCGGCAGACCGGGCGGTTTCGGGGGGACTCGGGGGAGTCTCAGGGTGCTGCTTCGTCCTCTGCCCGAGGATTCCGCCGCTGCTGTCGTCCTCGTAGTCCGGAGAGCTGGGGGGCCGGGGCCGGAGGCGGGGGTCAGGGGTCGGGGCCGGGGGGCTGGGTTCGTGGTGCCGGGGGCCGGGGGTCCGGGGGTCGGGGCCGGGGCCGGGGCTGGCGGTTCGTGGGGCCGGGGGCCGGGGTCGGGGCCGGGGGCTGGGGTTCGTGGGGCCGGGGGCTGGGGGCCGGGGGCCGGGGTCGGGGCCGGGGGTCGTGGGTCTGGGGTCGTGGGTCTGGGGCCGGGGTCGTGGGTCTGGGGTCGTGGGTCTGGGGCCGGGGGCCGTGGGTCGTGGGTCTGGGGCCGGGGGTCCACACCAGGGTGTCGTGGGTCAGGGACCAGAGGTCGTAGGTCTGGGGTCGTGGGTCTGGGGCCGGGGGTCGTGGGGCCGGGGCGGGGGCGGTTCACCAGTTCGCCTTTGTGCCTTAAGGCGGGGGCGGCACCGATTGTAGGATTATTAACGGACTGTTAACTACTATTAATATTATTAATGTCGAAAAAGTGTAGGCAAGTGTATTCGAGAGAACAGCCCTGGTGCTTGTCTGGTTTGGTTTGGCTTTGTGATGGGTTGGAGACATGCGCCATTGTGGGGTCGTTCCAGTTACTCGTTCTGGGTTCACCAGGCCGTAATAATTTTTGCCAGGTGTAAGTCACGTGTCTGATTCCCCAGAGGCAATTGAAATGTATTTACTTTATATATAAACGTCCATTGCTTACTGTGTTAAAAGTGCAGTGGGAATTTAAAAATCTTTATTTGCCTTAGCTTTTGTATTTGAAGCTGTAGGTTCCATTGGGTCAAACCTTTCCATTGTTTACTCAACAATAAAATTGGATTTCTGTATTAACACGGGCAGGGAAGCGGATGCCACTTACTATACATGACCTCACTGGACACGCATTAATAGCCCTGTGAGGTAGGTGCTGTTGGCCACACTTTACTGGTGAGGAAACAGAGAGGCGGCTTGTCCAAGAACGTACTGCTGTAAGTGGCCGTTCAGATTTGAACCCAGGCATTCTGGATTTTGAGCCTCTGAGTGCTTGCTTGTTGTGCGTCCGCTTTAAAACTCCTTTGTAAAATTCTAAGTCAGCGCTGGGTGTGCATTTGACTTGAGAGAGAGACTGGTTTAAAAATCTGGGCAAGTGCCATCGGTAGTTCCTAGAATAGGTGCTGTCCAGATGGTTCATACAGCCACTTGTCTGCTAGTGGTTACTGAACTGTTTCCTGTCCTCAGAGCCTACTGTAGTGGTTACTGAACTGTTTCCTGTCCTCAGAGCCTACTGTCTGGGGGCAGGGAGGGGGATGCAGTGCCCCTAGGCATCCGTGGGGCAGTGAGGATGCACATGCTTCCCTTGGACCTTCTCGTCTCTGGATTACTTCCAGTACCTAGTAAAGTGTAAATGCTGCTTGGTTGTTAAGTTGTTATTCAAGAAGTAATGACAAGGAAAATAAAGTCTCTCCATGATTGGTACAGACGCAATTAAAAAATGTGTAGAATCTGTGGTTGTTTGAACTTGAGGGTGTGCAGCCCTTGCATATGGAGGATTGACTATGCAGAGAAATCAGACATGTGATAAAATCTGTGATGGGTCAGGTCGCAATTGCTGTAGTACTGTGGTAGGTCAGCAAAAGCTTCCTGGACAGAATAAATCGTGAACTTGTAAGTATAAGGGAGCAGAATTAGCCTGGTGCAGTGCGGAGGAAATCCCATCAACACGTGTGGAAATCTAGAGACAAAGGAGTGATCAGATCAGGAAACCTCAAGTAGTGAAGGATAGCTAGGACAGGGGGTGTAGAGATGGAGGGGAATGGTGAGGGTGGACAGGAGCCTGATCCCAGAGGCCCTGGGCGGTCCTACCAGAGAATCTAGGTTTTATGCTGAAGGTTTATTTATTTATTTGAAAGGCAGAGAGACACAGAAAGAGATCTAGCTGCTGGTTTACCAAATGGCCACTGTGGGGAGCAGCCCGGACTGGACTGAGTTACTGGAATTAAGACTTATTCTATGCATCTGCTCTCCCACAATATGGCGCTGGGAGAGAAGTAAACAGCTTCCGCACAGCTGCCTCCAGTTCAGCTAATAAACTGTAGGACTTGCTCCTGATTGGAGGAGAGCAGCGTACTCGGCGTGTGGGCAGCCGAGTTGGGGTTGGCGGAGGAGGACTATAAAGGAGGAGAGAGACGGCATGCACCAGGAACATCTAAGGGGAACATCTGAGGGAACACCTGTGCAGCCCCCCGAGAAAGCCGGCTGGCAGTGTGCTGCTCCCCTGCGGAAGTGGGGAAAGTGGCAGGGGGAACTGCCCTTCCACGGAGGTGGAAGGGACAGTAGCCAACCCGGGAAGAACCAGCAACAAACCCGGGGAGGGCCGAGCAGACGAAAGAACAGCGCAGGGTCCTGTGTCGTTCCTCCACGAAGACGGGGAGCGACATAATGGTGCCGTGACTCGGATATGAAGCCTAGGCAGGGTTTAGTGTCGTTCCTCCACGAAGAGGGGGAGCGACAGCCACAATGGCCAAGGCTGGGCCAGGTCAAAGCCAGGAGCCAGGAGCTTTATCCAGGCCCCTTGTGGGTGCAGGGCCCCAAGCACTTGGGCCATCCTCTGCTGCTTTCCCAGGAGCATTATCAGGGAGCTGGATCAGAAGCAGAACAGCTGGGACTTGAACTGGCACCCATATGGGATGCCAGTGTTGCAGGCAGCAGCCCAAACTGTGATCCGTAACGCAGTCCCTATTTCTTTCTTTCTTTTTTTTTTTTTTAAATGAGGGAAGTAGAGGAGTCCTGAAAGTATTTCAAGCTAGGGCATATCATAATCATATTTGTCTTTAATTAAATCATAACTGCTTGTGTTTATTGAGCATTTGCTATGTATAAGGCCCTGTTCTGAACCCAGCTTCCTGCCTGTGCAGACCCTGGGAGCAGCGGTGATGGCTCAGGTCACTGGGTTGCTCCTGCCCATGGGGGCGACCTGCATTGCCGTCCCTGTTCCTGGCTTCTTTGACTCTGGTGTCGTCCTGGCAGTTGCTGGTGTTTGGGGAGTGACAGAAGATGGGAGCTGTTTCTTGAATGGCTTTGTGTGTAAATTCATCCGCATCTTATTTGGTCTCCACACTAACTCTAATAGAGAGGTCCTACTGTTTGTATTTTTTAGGTGAGGAAACTGAGGCAAAGAGGTTAAGATCTTTGTCCAACATCACACAGCCAGGAAATGGCAGCGCAGGCATTCAAACTGGCCAGACTGTGGACAGTGGAGTTGGGTGGTGACGCAAGACAGGAAGCAGAGTGTTGAGCGCAAGCAGTTAGTGGTGGCTGCTGTAATGCACTGGAGAGGTGGTGATGCTCCGCACTGGGCACATGGCAGTGGGAGCAGAGTACGTGGAGGGACTTCAAGGGTGTTTAGGAGCAAGCATTAACAGGGCTAGATGATTCACTGGATACGAATGATGAAGGAGAAGAGACTTTTTTTTTTTTTTTTTTTTTTTTTTTTTTGCTTGAGCAAGTGGACCTGTGAGAACAGGGGAGAACGCAGAGGCCAAGTTTGAGAATTATAGGAGACTATGAATATAATGAATTTATTTTTGTTCGTGCCAACTTCTTAGTGTCTTTAGTATGAATTACTCCAAGAGAACAAGTTCTGAAGATCTAGATTTTGAATGTCGTCTGTAGAGTAAGAATCGAAGCTGTGAGATCTTCCAGGAAGCATGTGTGGAATGGCAAGCAGGCACTGCTTGGACATACACGGAACACCAGTTAGAGCGGGAAGATGGGGGATCTTCAGAGGTGACTAAATGGAAGGCGCCAGAGAGGCAGAAGGAACATGCGCAGTGTACCAGGATGGCAGAATGGGCAGTTGGAGTGTGACCTGAGAGAGCAGAAACCACTAAGGCTAGGCTGTGTTGTTTGACTTCAGTGATAAGCAGGTAGTCTGTGATTTGCTGACTGGTCTCAGGGGTGATGGTGGCAGAGGTTGTTGGGACAGGGAGTGTAAACTGCTCCTTTGGAGAGCTAGGCTTTGAAAAGGGTAGAGAGGAAGAGGGGCTTTCAGAAGATGAGGGGGTTGAGGGAGTTTTTAAAAAAAACACAAGCACATCCACGTGGGAGTTGAGAGAAACCTGAAAAAGAGAAGGTATCACACCCCTTAATCAAGCAATAAACATTTGTTGGTATAATTATTTTTAAAATATTATGTGTCTTTTTCTTCTGATTTTTATAGGATGAAATTGTGATATGTCCTTATGATTCGAATCATCATATGCCCAGGTCATCGTTAGCAAAGCACATGGAATCTTGCAGATTGAGAAAACTGGGCTATACCAAGGAAGAAGAGGTACTGCATGTTTGCTGTATTGTGCATTTGTGCTATGTGATTCATGCATTAATAAATCACAGTGTTGGGAAGGTGTATTCCTTTTGTATGCCTTTTGTAGCTTAAAATAATAACCCTTATTAAAGAATATGTATATACACACACACACAAATAGCCCTTATTTGTAGGGGAGGGTGATGGTTATCTAATTTCACAATTTGTGAGAAATATTTAAATGGTACTAGTCGGTTGTTAGTTTATGTCAGATCTTAAAATAGTTCATTTCTGAAATTTGTGAACACTTAAGTTTTTTTTTTTTTTTTTTTTTTTACTGTTTAGGAAGAAATGTATAATCCTGAGTTTTTCTATGAGAATGTGAAGGTACCTTCAGTTACTTTGAGTAAGTATTAAGTTACTAGATTATAATTTAAAAATAGTATAGGTATTTTTTCATTTCTGATTGATCATAAGAATGGATTTTATAAGCATTAAGAACATGAAGAAGGATGCTTAGTACTGTCGCTCCCCGTCTTCATGGAGGAACGACACAGGACCCTGCGCTGTTCTTTTGTCTGCTCGGCCCTCCCCAGGTTTGCTGCTGGTTCTTCCCAGGTTGGCTACCGACCCTTCCACCTCCGTGGAAGGGCGGTTCCCCCTGCCACTTTCCCCACTTCCGCGGGGGAGCGGCACACCACCGGCCGGCTCTCTTGGGGGCTGCACAGGTGTTCCTTCAGATAGATGTTCCTGGTGCATGTTGTCTCTCTCCTCCTTTATAGTCCTCTTCCGCCAATCCCAACTCTGCTACCCACATGCCGAGTACGCTGCTCTCCTCCAATCAGGAGCAGGTCCTGCTGTTTATTGGTTGAACTGGAGGCAGCTGTGCGGAAGCTGTTTCCTCCTCTCCCAGCGCCATATTGTGGGAGAGCAGATGCATAGAATAAGTCTTAATTCCAGTAACTTAGTCTAGTCCGAGTTGCTCCCCACAAGTACTTGTAGAGAATTGAGGATTAATTAATGTTTAGTGGAACTAAGTTATGTACTCTGAAATGTAGAGAGCAGGTTTATGGTAATAGACGGTGAAAACCCAGAAGAGCTTTCTACGGTAGGACAGACACCTTTTTCCTTGTAGTAACAAAGATCTGAGCAGACAACACACACTGGAGGTAGGACGGAAGACAGAAACAGGTTCCAGGTATTCACAGAGGTTTAAGTCTTGGACTCTGGAAATAATAGAATGCCTTGATTCAGTTCCTGGTTTTGTTACTAACAGATCTGTAACTTCCAACCTGTTTGTTGCCTAAATTTCTTTAAAATGGGGATGATGCGAAGAGTACTTTGTGAGAATTAAATATTAACATTTAGGATAGTCCCTGCTACTTAACTGGTTTTCAGGAAATGTTAGCTGTTATTGGTCCCTAAAATTTGTAGCTACTACTGCAGCATGCCTGATGATAGCGTTTTTTAAACTGTAGAAGTGTGGTTACTCACTAAGCTCTGGACAGATCCGAGAGAATTCTGTGTTTAGGTGACACAGGCAGCTGTGTGAATGTTTCGCCTCTTAAGATTCTGTAAGGTTGTCACTGTGCTAAAGAGCTGGGATTGGAAGCTAGTTAATCATTCAGTTGTGGACACTGATGATTTCTAATGTACTTACAGATTTTTTTTTTTTTGACAGATAAGGACTCACAATTCCACATAATTAAACAAGCTAGAACTGCAATTGGAAAAGATGGTGATTATAACCAAAGTAAGTGATGCCATTCTTGAGCTAAGTCATGAACCAAGTAATTTTAATCCTACAAGCACAACACTACACATTTCTTTAAGAAAAACCTATGAAAACAGTTGTATGGGAAAGGTTAATTTAACCTTTAAACAGTAGGCTAATCTGCTTTGTTTCAGTCTCATTTGTTAACTCTGTGCTGTGAGATGTTGCTCACGCGGACACTATCTTAGCGGGGGAGTCATGCTTTGGAATTACCTAATAAGTGAGATTTCTTATTTATACATGTGTGCCGCTGGGTGAGACTTACCCAAGATTTCCCCTGGAAAATGGTGTATTGTTGGAGCGCAGAGATTGGTCTCCAGCTGCCCCACAGGGAGACCACATCAGGGTCATTCTTCTCTTTGAAGTGATGCCTGCTGGGGATCCCCTCTCAGCACAGAGCTTCACCTGGAGGTTCAGAGGATTCCCAGATCCCTTCACGCCCAGCTTTGCAGCTCGGTTAAGGAGTTTCTTTCTGCCTAGAACAGAGACCAGGTTAGAATTTTTAAGCTTTTAGAAAATTGAAAGAAAAGTTAATCTATCAAAAACATAGAAATGAACGGTTAGTGAGAGTTTAGATGTCTGGGGGTGCTAGCCGGCCCACACGTGACCAGCTCCCCTTAACAAGGATGTCTGAGTTCATTTGAACCTTCTGTTGGTTCCAAGCTTCCTCTGCGTACCTCACATTTTTCCTGTTTCCTTTTTCTAGCTGAGTTACAGGCATCAGGCCATAGTCATGTTTGGTTTTGGCCTTGGTGGAAGGTCAGGTCTTCACCAAACATTGTTCTAAGTCAGTACCTAGCCTTGATTTCTCCAGGGTGCCCTGGAGCTTCAGAGGAGGCCACCTTGCCCTGAGCTGCTCCGTGTTACCTTGGTTCCCCACGACCGCGGGAAGCACACTTGTTCTATTTCCTGTTCTGCAGCTCCCACTTCCGTGCCAGTGAGCTGAAGGCCGGGTTTCTTTCCTTGAGGAAGGCATTTGACTTTCATCTTACTTGGAGAGGTTGCTGAGCTGTGACTAGTAGGGCCTTTTTTGGCCTCTGTTGGTTCTGCCCATTGCCCCTGTTTAGTTAATGAACCAATCAAAAAATAGAGGTTTTGGTTTTTGGAGGAGTAAACATTGAAAGACTTGACTCTGCAGTAGTGAGACAGGTTGGCTGAGTTCATGTTAGAGTTGATAGAGAACTTGGAAGTCATCTGGTCCAGCATCTGCCTTTCACAGATGAGGAAACAAACCCTGGGTGGCAGGGACTAGGAAGCCAGCACCTGCAGGACTTTCAGGTTGTTAAGGTTTCTTTTTCAAAGTTCTTTTGTGTATTTCATTTCTGTTTCTCGACAGACCAGTGTAGGCTGGCGGAGTATTTTTCTCATCCTCTTTAGGTCAGGAAACAGGCACACAAGTGTGGAAGTCCACCTCAGCTAGATAATAGCAGAGCTGGATCCAGAACAAGTTCTGAGCTGTGGCGCAGTCTCTGAACTGAGCTGCTCTGTTTTCTGTCAGGAACGCTCACCGTCTAGTGAATTTTATGGACTAGGGTTCTGGACGCTGCTCGGATACACTCACTGTCAAAGCTGTCGTGATTAAGGGGAACTTCACATGTCTGCCTGCTCCTGTCAGTGCCGTGCGTTGTTCCCTACATTGTATAAGTCTGCTTTACAGAAATAAGTCAGCCTTGTACATGTGACAACTTCTTTTCACTTTTTGTCTTTTCTGTAATACAAAGCTGTCTTGTGGGGTCCTTAGAGGAACAGAGATAATGAATGCTAAACTAGCCCTTGTTCCAATAATTGGTAACTACTGTTACCTAAGTGAAAACTAATGTACGGAAAGCAATAGTAAAGAAGTACTTGAGAGTTTTGTGTGTGTCATTTGGAAAGCATGCTCAGGTGTTTATGTATACCTAGGGTCTTAACTGTTTCTTAAAATTCTGTGTAGAGTTCTGTAATTATTCAACACAGATTATTTTTGTGACCCATTCCTGGCTTAGACATTTTAAAACTTTTGCCTCAGGACTAGAAATCTTTAAATATCTTTTTATTGATGTATTGAAGGAAGAAGAATGTCTAATATGAACAAGGTCACATTTTCCTATCTAATTTTGTTAATTCATTAAAATGTGAGTTTTTTGACAGGGTTGTGTGCATGTTTTCATTTCATTAATCACGTCAGCCCTAAACTGAGTACATAGACTTTAGAATCTTGTAAGCTTTGTGAAAGCTTGAACAATCATTAGATCTTATTTATTTTCAGATATAGTGACTTCGGTTAATTTTGTAGACAGAATATTAATTCCAATCATAAGCAGTCATTTTATATTTTATGCTTTATCTTTTTCCTTCAATATAAAATCTTTAAGTTGCTGTGCTTTTGTTTCATGGAGTATATTTGATTATGTCTGTGATTTTAAGACCGGTATGTTATATATAAAAGAACCTAAAAGGAATAGGATTGAATAGCTTTAGAGCCAGTCTGTTCCTACCACTTAGGAGAATTTGGGTGAGTTGTTTGATTTCAGTGGCCTTAGTTTCTTTGGTTTGTTATGGAATTGACTCTGAATTCTCCCACAAATTCTGTTTATATTTTTGAGACAGTATCTTTTACTGTTTGATGTTATATATGTTTCATGTTTAAGATTCCCTGTGATGACAGGAGTGACTAATAAGGGAAGACAGTTATTTAAAATAGATTAGAGTTTCAGTTTGCAATGATGAAGAAGTTGGGGAGAGGCTAGAGCAGGTACTTGCACAACGGTGTGAGGCATAGTGATGCCTCTGAACTGGGCACGTGCGCTTAAAAAAATTGTAAACTTTATGTTTTTTACGTTTACCACTGTTTTTAAAAACTGCAAAAAAAATAGCAAGATAAAAGGTCACGAATTGTATGGCATTCTGATATACCTCTAAATCATATAGAAATGTATGAAGAATTACATTTTATAGGATTGTAAGCTTATGGAAGTGTGTTTATCCATTTTTTTCTTTTTGTCAGAAATATCTGTGTTCTGAGTGATATAATGCAGCTTGTCGCTTAACTTTTCCTGTACTTTTTCTTTTTCAGTAATTGGGGTGAGTATAAAGAGGAATTAGGAACCTGAATGTACTCCTTATTTAAAGATATGCAGTATCCTTTTGGCAAATGATATCCTTTTAAAGTATCACTATAAAATTTCTAAACCTTATCTCAATAGCTATCACAATATTGTGGTCTTGATTTGGAATTTTGGTTGAATTTGAAGAAATTTAAATATCAATCTGAAGATACCATGGAGAAATTTAAAATGAAAATGCCACAATAATTTAAGAAGAAATTCTGTTTCTTTGTTTAAAAATGACAGGCAGAGGTCATGTGGAGCTTGTTTGTAATACATCATTGTTTTCTAGTCTTTGCATTTTTCTCCCAGATTTTTATGGCCTGTATTCAAAGGAGTTAGGCTTATGATAGCTAACTTTTGATAATTCTGTATTACGAAGTTTAATGTTTTAACACCTGGCTACATAAAGGGGCTTTTCCATATGCCTACTAGAACTTGATTAAAATTGACTGACTTGAGCGAGCCCTTCTTCCCCACTAACTCCAACCCTTGATAAGGGAGAATGTCCGTGTGAAAGCTGGCTTCAGATTCAGTGACGCTGTCCTCTTGATTGGTGGACAGATGTGACGTCGTCTCTTTTTGGTGTTGTAATGCTTACTTCATAGCATGCTCTAATTTGAATTCTTCTACCTTTTCACTTAAGAAGTTAGCAAAATTAGAAGTCATCAAATACGAGGTTCTCAGAAGTGCTGTTGATTTTACTTTGTTCTCTGAACCAGAGTTACTACTTTCACATAATCTAGCAAGCATTAGAATGCGTCCTTTAGTAGCTCATGTTCTTTGTTTGCGTTAGTGAGGAACGAAGCCTAGAAAGAATTGTTTTACATTGTTTTATTTACAGTTGCAATCATTTTTTTATTTGAGAAAATTTGAATCCAAACAAATTTTCTTCAATGTTTAATACATCGTATCAAGGTATTGTATTTACTTTATTTTATTAATGGACAGATGTTAGAAAGTTCTGTGACGGTGGGGGGACACTGATGCTAAGACTTTTCTGTTAACTTGGTTAAGCCACTGTGCTTCCTGCTGAGGAAACAAATAGGTTCTGTTTCCATTTAGTCTTTTTCTGGTCTGAGGAAGTTTGGGATTTTTACTAGATTGTTTTTTTTGACCCCAGCTCTAAGTTGTGCAAGTGGGACGTACTTTGAATATTGAACGTGTAGCCTAATGTTTCATGCAGAAGAGACCTTTTAAGCAAATTTTTCATATTTCCATAATTTATTTTCAGACATGGTAGCATGTATTACCTGTCAAGCATTTTTTGCAGCTTTTATGGGGAAAAGCATATTCACAGAAAGAAAGATACTTCTGTAATATGGTAGCCTTTTAAAGATCACACCCAAGATTTGTGTATGAGCAAATTGTCTCCTCTGGTAGTTACCGCCTGCGTAGCAGACGTCTGTAATCCAGTCTTTCTGTGGGACTAGCATTCAGGATAGAGTCCTTATTTATTTCTCATAGAGATTGCTGTTTTCTGTATTTAGTGATTACTGTGAGAAGAAATAGCTTGTGCTAATACTGCGTCATAGCACATGTGTAATAAGTGGTGGATTTTCAGTCCATAACGTTTCATGTCTTGTTTATTCTTGTGGTTTTATCTTTACCTTAGGGATTTACTCTTCGTCGCCTGTTGAAGTTCCTCTGAATCACAAACGGTCTGTTTGTGATCTGACCCAAGCCGACCGCCTTGCCCTCTACGATTTTGTAGTTGAGGAGACAAAGAAGAAGCGCTCCGATTCTCAGATCCTTGAGAATGACAGTGATCTCTTTGTAGACTTGGCTGCCAAAGTCAATCAAGGTTTGAGATGAATGTTATAGCTCTGCACTGCTTGTTTATTGTTGTCGTAGAGATTTATTTATTTATTTATTTGAGAGAGTGACTAGGGGCAGGGAGAGGGGTAGAGAGCGAATTTCATCCCCCAAATGGCTACAACAGACAGCACTGAGTTAGGCCAAAGCTGGGAACCAGGAACTACATCTGGATCTCTTGTGTGGGTGGCAGGGATCCAAGTATTTGGGCCATCATCTGCTGTTTTCCCAGGTGCATTAGCAGGAAGCTGGATTGGAAGTGGAGCAACTGGGACTTGAATCTGCATTCTGATGTGGGATGCTGGATGTTTTACATTTCTTAATTTTCTATCCTGTGCATTAAGCTGATTCTTCAGACCACTTTTAGTTGGAGTAGAATGAGTCTGTATCATCTAATAGCAATACATATATATGTGCATATTTATATAAAGTTATTCACTCAGTGCATAAAATCTTACACTTTTAGCTTGAGCATATCTTCTGTGTGAAGCATGTTACAACTCTGTTATGTTCATCTGTGTACCTAGGCACTCCATGTCCAACTAACTGCCAGAGAAAAGGAATTATGTAAGACTTAGCCCATATATATGTGCACACACACACATAATGTAGAATTTTCAGGTATTTATGTGCTACCTTGAAATATGTTGAAATATGACTGTGGTCTTCTTACCGGCTAAGTCATAAGAATTTAAAAGCTCCAAAGAGCATAATATTATTTTATTCTTTCTTTAGATAATAGTCGAAAAAGTCCAAAATCTTACCTTGAAATCCTGGCAGAAGTGAGAGATTATAAGAGAAGACGCCAGTCCTACAGAGCTAAGAATGTTCACATAACCAAGAAATCGTATACTGAGGTAAGTCTTGCATAATCTTGCAAACTTTATTGAGAATAAAAATGTATCTTAGGTAGTTTCCTAAGTCTGTTCTGCAGGTTTGCACGGTTCTGTCTGGGTGATTCTCACCGTTACTGATGGACTCGCTGGTTTGCCAGTCCTAGAGAGTGGTAATCAAGTTTGTGGTTGCTGCTGGTATTCTTTGCACTTGCATGGTTGGCCTTTTATTACGGAAGTAATCAAACAAATAAGGATACTACAAAACGTTTGTTGGAAAATGGAATTAAAAGATAAATTCTGGGCTAGTGTTATGGTGTAACAGGTTATACCAACACCTGTGACACTGGCATCCCATAAAGGCATTGGTTTGAGTCCTAGCTGCTCCGCTCTCGATCCAGCTCCTTGCTTATGTGCCTGGGAAAGCAGCAGAAGATGGCCCAAGTGTACCCCCTGCACCCACATGGGAGACCTGGAGGAAGGTCCTGGCTCCTGGCTCTGCCTAGCCCAGCCCTGGCCATTGCAGCCATTTTGGGAATGAACCAGTAGATGCAAGCTCTCTCTCTCGCGTGCGCGTGCTCTTTGTCTCTCTCTTTTTTCTGTGTACTTCTGCTTTTCAAATAAATAAATAAATCTTTAAAAAATTTTTAAAGTGTTTCTTTTGATGCAAAAATATTTTGAAATCCAGGCCTCCCTCCCCCCCATATGCATTTTCCATGAACCTTTTAAAGACCTCATTGTATGGATGGATTTCAAAATTTTTGCACCAAAATAAACTTAATCTTTTAATTCCACTTTTCAGTGAACATTTTGAAATGCCTTTGTGGCATAGTCTGAGGAACCCTTGTGTCTTCGTTGCCCATCTTCAACAGTTAGCAGCCTATGCTCCTCTTGTATATATCCCCTCCTCTCTACCTGTCTTCCCCAACCCTCACACTTGGTGACTCTTGAAAGCAAATCCCAACTATCTTTTACCTGTCAGTACTTAAGTGTTTATAGATCTTTTAATGATTCTTCATATCTCTGGTGGTTTTTTCAACTTTTTATCCATTTCTTCATCCATGTCCTACATGTTTTTGGTCTGGGTTAGAACAAATTTCAGCAAAAAATTGATGACATCCTGTAATCACTGTGCTAACACACTGCAGGGGATGTATGAGAATGCACACAGACCCACCCTCAAGCAGCTTAGAATTTAAGCAGTGAAACATACATGCAGAATGTGAGTTGTGTTAAAGTGCTAAAATAGCGACTAAATCATATGGAGTCATTCTCTATCAGAGATAGGATTGATCTGAGCTTCGGAGAGGAGGTAGCGTTTGCGGGAAAAGGAGAACCAGGGAGAGGTGAAGAAGTGTCTGCTCACTGACTGCCCTCTGTGGTCTGGAACCTGTGCTCGGGGGACTCTGGGACAGCGAGTTTCAGGAGCTGGTGTAGAGCTAGCAGACGAGGACTGGTAGGGCTGCCCGAGGAAGGGCCAGACCTGGCTGCCGAGTGCACTGGGATGTATGTGACTTGTCACTCTGGGTTGGACCTTGGCCTGTCTGAAATTTTCCACAGGAAGATACAGTGAAAGAGAGTGGCAGTGGCGGGTCAAAAGATTTTCTAGATGGGAGGACAAACATTTTTTTAAAAAAAGATATATTTATTTATTTGAAAGAGTTACAGAGGGAGAGAAGTAGGGACAGAGAGATCTTCCATCCACTGGTTCACTCCTCAAATGGCCACAACAGCCAGGGCTGTGCCCGGCCAATGCTAGGAGTTTCTGCAGGGTCTCCCACATGGTGCCAAGGCCCAGGGATGTGGGCCATCTTCTGCTTTCCCAGGCATGTTAGCAGGGAGATGGATCGGAAGTGGAGTAACCAGGACTTGAACTGGTGCCCATATGGAATGCTGGCATTGCAGGCCGTGGTTAACCCACTGTCGGTCCCAGACTAGCATTCTTAAAAGGAAATGTAAGTGAAGTTATCTCTTAGTAACATGGAGGGATTGGTTCCAGGACACCAATGCCCAAATCTTATGTAAAATGGCATAGTATTTGTGCATATTTTAAATCATCCTGCATTGCTTTAAAACCTAATACAATGTAAGTGCTATATAAATGATTATTATGCTGTATTGTTTTAGGGAATAATGACAGGAAACATATCTGTACTTGTTGAGCACAGGCATGTGTGTGGGGAGTGGGGTGACTGTTTTCCTCTGTGGTCAGTTGTGAACCAGTGGATATGGAACTGTGAGGTATGGAATCCACGATGTAGAGGCCTGTCTATACAGGAGTTTCTCAGAAAGCCCTTAGTAACCCCTGCTGGCTAGAGCTTAAAGCTTCCGAGGAACTACCCAGTGAGAAATGAGGTTGGCTTCTACTCTGTGATATAGCAAGATCATGGAGGGCTTTGAAAGCTTTATTATAGTATTCGGACATTTTTCCATTGTACTCTGGGAGCATTAAATGCTTCTTTGAGGTGGACGGAAGTGCATCAAGGCCTGAATTAGATAGATAAATTTCTTATTAAAACATTGTCCAAATCAGACCTAAGGGAAAATTTAGCTTCTATTATAGTTTTATCTCTGCCTCCTCAGTAAATAGCCCTACGCTTGATGGTGTGGATAACTAAGAAAAAGAAAACCTTGCATGTGGTTCTTACAAGTAAGGAATTTATAATCTCATTGGGGCATATCTGAGAACGACTGTAATGGTTCATGTTTTGTCATCCTGACCTAAGTGTAAGTTTTTAAAAAATGTTTGTAAGTAATCTCTCACTTTGAGATCAGTTGCAAAAGACACCATAGTACCACGGACTCAGGTGTAGTGGTTCTTTTACCAAGGTCACCTGTTGCAGCATTTTGCCTGTGTGCTTACCATTCACACTCTGTCCATTTTGCATTCTGTTGGTCCTGTGTGTACATAATTTTTTCAGTTAAGGGTAAGTGACATAGAGCATGACTCGTTCTCCCTAAGTACTTGGAATGCATTTCCCAAGAACAGGCGCATTTCTTGTGCAGGTTCCAACTTCACATGCAGCGCTGAGATAGCTTCTTCAAGGACCATCCAGAGTCTGGTTGTTCTGTGTTCTCTGACTGAACATGTTCGCAGTCCCCTGTGTCCTAGCTCTTGGTAAACACTTGGTTGATTGTCAGCAATGCTTTTTCCAGCTTTATAGTCTTTATTTGTGGACCAGCTTTCTTACCTGAAATTCGCTGCTTGACTTTCTCAAGGTGATTCGGGATGTGATAAATGTGCACATGGAAGAACTCAGTAATCACTGGCAAGAAGAGCAGGAAAAAGCGGAGGATGGGGCTGAAAAGTACGTCATTATCTTTACTGGTGAAAATGCTCTCTAATCTGTGTGCTGTAGTGGTTAAGTGGTAGCATTTCCAAGATGCTTCATAACACACTAAATTACCAAAATACCTATTGTTTATTGTCATCAGTGCTCAGGATTCTGAAGCCAGAATTGTTCTATGGCATTGCCCTTTGGGACAACAATATTAATGAAATAAGTAATAAAACCTAAAACCTGGGGCTGGTGTTGTGGCGTAGTGGGTAAAGCCCCCGCCTGCAGTGCTGGCATCCCATGTGGGTGCCAGTTCGAGTCCTGGATGCTTCACTCTCTGCTATGGCCTGGGGAAACAGTAGAAGATGGCTCAGGTCCTGGGCCCCTGCACCCGTGTGGGAGACCTGGAGGAGGCTCCTGGCTCTTGGCTCCGGATCAGTGCAGCTCTGGCTATTGCTGCCATCTAAGGAGTGAACCAGTGGATGGAAGACCTCTCTCTCTCTCTGCCTCTGCCTCTCTGTACTCTGCCTTTCAAATAAGTGAATAAATCTTTAAACAAGAAAAAAAAAGTATTGCACTTAAGGCTGGTATGTCTGTGTGTGTAACAACCTGATTAACGTATCTTTCTGTGTTTCAGGAAGGAGGAGAGGCGATCGGCTTCGGTAGATTCACGACAGTCTGGTGGAAGCTATTTCGACGCCGAGTGTTCTCGGCATAGACGGGGTCGGAGTAGGAGCCCACATAAGAGAAAAAGAAATAAAGACAAAGACAAAAACAGTGAGTCAAGAAGAAGGAAAGAGAGGTGAGTCTAACTGCATCATCCCTGTTGAATTGTTGACTGCTGAAAAGCAGAGCAGGTTCTGTGGACCACGCCAAAAAACAATACAGTAAGGAGAAGAAATGATAAATAATTGGTGATGATTTTTTAAAAATTTTATGAATTTCTTAAAAGCTAGGATGATTGCTTTTTTTTAAAGATTTATTTGTTTATTTGAAAGAGTTACAGAAAGAGGGGAGACTGAGAGATCTTCCATCCAGTGCTTCCTTTATTTATTTATTTTTTTGTAAAGATGTATTTATTTATTTGAAAGTCAGGTACACAGAGAGGGAAGGAGAGGCAGAGAGCGAGAAAGGTCTTTTGTCTGCTGGTTCACTCCCCATTGGGCCACAACGGCCGGAGCTGGGCCGATCTGAAGCCAGGAGCCAGGAGCTTCTTCCAGGTCTCCCACATGGGTGCGGGGGCCCAAGGACTTGGGCCATCTTCTGCTGCTTTCATAGGCCATAGCAGAGAGCTGGATTGGAAGAGGAGCAGCCAGGACTAGAACCCATATGGGATGCTGGCACTGCAGGCAGCAGCTTTACCCACTACACCACAGCACTGGGTACAGTGATTTCATTTTCCATGTGTCCACAATGGCCAGGGCTGGGCTGGGCTGGGCTGAAGCCAGGAGCTTCATCTGGGTCTCTTGTGTGGGTGACAGGGGCCCAAGCACTCCGGCCATTTTCTGCTGCTTTCCCAGGCCATTAACAGGGACTTGGATAGGAAATGGAGCAGCCAGAACACAAACCAACGTCACAGGTAGCAGCTTTATCTGCTCAATGCCGTCCAAGGAATTTTTTTTTAAAGATGTTTATTTAAAAGGCAGAGTAAGAGGGGGACAGAGAGAGAATATATCTTCGATCTACAGGTTCACTCCCCAAATGGCCACAGCAGCCAGGCTGGGCCAGACTAAAACCAGGAGCCCAGAACTCCATCTGAGTTTACCATGTGGGTCATAGGAGCCCATGCAGTTTGGCCATCTTCTTCTGCTTTCACAGGCATGTTACCAGGGAGCTGGATCGCAAGTATAGCAGCCAGGACTTGAACTAGAGCCCATATGGGGTGTCAAAGGCAGCAGCTTCATCTGCTGTGCCACAGCACCTATCCAGTGAAGATTCTTTGAATTTGTTCGGTTCAAATAAGCACAGCTTCGGTGGCATAGTTCTCTGTGTACATGATTAGATGTTGGAGTTTTCCCTTTTCATCACTTACTTCCTTTCTCACCAAGACTGACAAAGGCAATGTCTGTGTAGTGTGTTAAAAAATTTTTTTAAGATAGATGTATTTGAAAGGTGGAATTCCAGAGGAGGAGACATGGAGAGAGAGAGTGCGCATGTGAGTGAGTGAGCAAGAGCCAGCTTCCATCTGCTCGCTCCCCAGCTGGCTGCAGTGACCAGGCTGAAGGCAGGAACCTGGAACTCCATCCAGGTCTCCTATATAGGTAGCAGGGGCCCAGGTACTGAGCCGTCTTTGCTGCTTTCCCAGGTGCACGGGCAGGAAGCTGGATCAGAAGTGGAGTGGCTGGGACTCAAACTTGTGCTCATATGGGATGCTGATGTCCCGGGTGGTGGGTTAATGTACTGTATCACATTAAACACATGTTAAACCGTTAACAGATGTTTGCCTAACTGTTCTTTCTTCCTCCTCCTTGCTGTTGCTAGTTCCTGCAAACTTCAGCATCAATTTTTTTTTTTATTAGCAAGGTTTTGATAGATGGAGAGGTAGAATTAAAACTAAGATAATTTTAAATCAGCCGAGGTATATTCCAGTGTTCCCAGTGCTTATGGCGTCTCCGGTGATTTTCTGTCAGTTCCTTCTTCCCTAGCATTGCTGCCCTGGTTCATGGGATGACCCTCGTCTGTTCAACTAAGCCAGCAGTCAGGGAGTCATTGTAGATACTCTTTGCTGGTCTCACCATCTGGGCAGTCCATAGCTGCTGTGAGTTCTGCCTGAGAAGATGTCACACGTAGCTCTGCCTCTCTGTCCCTTGCTGCCTGTCTGGAAATACTGGTGGTTTTCCTAAGGCTCTGTTCATCTCTAGGCTTATCCCGTGAGAATCCGTCCCCTTCCTGCTCCCAGGGAATATGCACGTCTTACTGCTCTGCAGTGGCAAAATCCACCTTTTTGAGAGTAGCTCTCCCACAGCTCTGGACTGAGGACTGCTGCCTGCTTCTCCTGGATTTATGCCACAGTGCAGTGGAATGCACGGCTTGTACTTCAGCCGTGTGTTACGTAAGAGTCCTCATGCACTTGGGCCACCTCTGTGCTTCTCCATTTTGTGTTCTGCGCCTGGTTTTTAAGCCTGCCTGGGAAGCCTGCTCGTCCTCTAAGGCCCAGCGCAGGTGGTTCCTGAAGCCTTTTCTCAGGGTGAGCAGGCTGGTCATCTTCTGTTTTGTCACTGCCCTTCCTGGCACACACTTGGCTTTGACCTTAACATTTATTACCAGACTTTGAGCTCTGGGCAGGCAGGATGGCCCGTGGACTTGTCAAGTAGTAGGCTCCCCAATGGTATCCTGGCTCCAGAGCAGGTGTGTGTTAGGAGCTAGTAAAGCTTTCTGTGATGATTTGATAATTTCGCTTATTGTACTACCATTCAGTTCATAGGATTAAAGTTAGCTGTGATTCAGTTGTTCTCTTACAAAAAAGGAATTATATATAGATATATAATTCCCTCTGATTCATATGAGAATTTTATAACTTAGTATGTACAGATTAACTTTGGTTTGTCTCAGAAGTTGTACTCTTTCCCTCTTTCAAGTTTGTTAGTGCTTCTTCCACTAAAGTAATTTTTGTTTTATCTGTTCAACTCCTTTTGACTGAAATACATTGGAAGTCCTCAAAATCTAAACATGGTCATGGTGGTTGTGGTACGGGGTTAGGCCGCTGCGTGGGATGCCCGCATCGCATATTGGAGCACTGGTTCGAGTCCCATCTACTCTGCTTCCAATCCAGCGTCCTGCCAGTGCACCTGGGGAAGCTTTGGCAGTTGATGGGTCGAGTCTTAGAGCCCTGCCAACCAAGTGGAGACCCAGGTAGAGTCCTGGGCTCCTGGCTTTGGGCTGGTCCAGCACTGACTGTTGGAGGCATTTGAGAAGTGAACCAGCTCATGAAGATTTCTCTCTGTGTCTCTTCTCTGTCTTTGTTGCTCCACCTTTCATGTAGATGAGAATATTTACAAAATCTAGACATGAACAAATTTTCCTTTGTTGAGATGAATTTGGTATTAGTGAAATACTTCTGAAGAGGGCAAGGCTAATCTTTGATGTCGTCTCCTAAGGTGAAATGAATTATGGAGAATTGAAAGAGGAGTCAGAATAAGGAAATCAGGCAGTTTCTGAATTATCACTGAGACTTTCATTGTCTATTTGAAACGAATTATTTGGTCATCTATTATTTATATATATTCAAAGTTAATTTTAAAGAATCCAAAGCACAATTTTTAACAGTCCCACTTTGCTAATCTCTATTTAATTTTGCTTCTTATTTTCTGTATTTACTCTCTTAAAAAAAAATCCCTCTTCAGCCTAGCAGTTAACACACCAGTTAAGACAAAGACTCGGCCGGCGCCACAGCTCACTAGGCTAATCCTCCGCCTTGTGGCGCCAGCACACCGGGTTCTAGTCCCGGTCAGAGCACCGGATTCTGTCCCGGTTGCTCCTCTTCCAGGCCAGCTCTCTGCTGTGGCCCGGGAGTGCAGTGGAGGTTGGCCCAAGTGCTTGGGCCCTGCACCCCATGGGAGACCAGGAGAAGCACCTGGCTCCTGCCATCGGATCAGCGCGGCGCACCGGCCGCAGCGGCCATTGGAGGGTGAACCAATGGCAAAGGAAGACCTTTCTCTCTGTCTCTCTCTCTCTCACTGTCCACTCTGCCTGTCAAAAAAAAAAAAAAAGACACAGACTCCCACATCAGAGAGCCCAAGTTCAGTCCCAGCTCCAGCTCTGCCTGCGGTTTCTGCTTCTGCAAACCCTGGGAGGCTGCAGTCATGGCCCAAGTAGTTGGGCTGCTGCACCCACGTGGGAGACCGGGATTGAGTTCCGGTTCCCAGCCTGGACTGCGCTCAGCCCTTGCCACTGTGGGCGTTTGGGGAAGGAGCCAGGAGCTCTGTGTCCTCCCCCTGCTGGGACTACCCCTCAGTGCCTCTCAGGTTTTTTTTTTTTTAAGAAATCCTGTTCAGTTCTTTCTTGTTTTCGCTGTTGAGTTCTGAATGCATATTTTAACATGTTGCAGTTTATGTCTGATGAAAGTGCATTACTGTTGAATTATGATTTTAAATATCTGGTATTAAAATCTCCATTTATAATAGTTTTTAATACTCCTTTCATTTCAGGGATGGGGAAAGACATCATAGTCATAAAAGAAGAAAGCAGAAAATATGAATGCAGTATTCGTGCATGTTTTAATTATGCTGTGTCATGATAACCAGTATGCTGATATTTAATTGGAACTGCTTTGCATTGGAGAATGTGTTTATATGATTGGTTTGGTGCTCATTATTTTTCAATAAATATGCTTCAGATTGTGAGTACACTGTTGGGCCCTACAACTTGTTTTCCTTATATTTAAGTAGAAGGTTTGCTTCTTGTTACTTGTTTTGTTTTGACTTTTTGGCTATTTATATGTTATAAATATCTTTTTATCAGAAAAACCATTTAAAGTATATAAATTTTACACCGAAACATTCTTATTGTAAAAAAAAAAGACTTTGAGATAAGGCTCACGTCCCCTTGGAATCCATCTGTAATCCTTGTGCCCACCCCAGTGGCAACTCCTCTTTACCATTACCCTGGGGAATTGTCATAGGAAAAATCAGCCTCAACACTGTCTGCAGGGGAGTTGTGTGGTGGGCAGGGATCTGGCTCAGTGAGACACGGTGTAGTCGGATGGAGTGCTATGTCGGAATTAAGAGAAGTAAAATAACTGTTCCTGTGCACAGATCTCGGACATAATGCTGAAGGAGCCAGCAAGTGCTTGCTCCCTGCCTCTCACGTATAGAGAGAGAGGGAGGGAGAGAAAGAACATTTTCTATGCCTGTATGTGTGTGTACGTATATTTAAAAGTTCAGAAGAATCCAATTCAAACTCCCAGCAGGGGTTATGTGGGGGCGGGGGAGTCCGTAGACCCGATTGGGGGAAGAAACGGAGATGTAGAGGGTTATCAGAGGAAGCTTTCGTTTCATCCATTTACAGGACTGTTTTTTTAAAATAAAGTGTTTTTGTTTGGCTTGTTAATTAAAAATATACAATCATATTTTGTAAATCAGCTTTACTGCATTATTATTGACATACACCAAACTGTACCTACTTGAAGTTTATGTTTCATTGTGTCTTGACATTTATAACCCTGTGTAGCCATCATCACAACCAAGGTATGTAATATGGGGGTTAGTTAGCCTTTAAAAAGTTCACAGGGGCCGGCGCCGCAGCTCACTAGGCTAATCCTCCAGCTCACTAGGCTAATCCTCCGCCTAGCGGCGCCGGCACACCGGGTTCTAGTCCCGGTTGGGGCGCTGGATTCTGTCCCGGTTGCCCCTCTTCCAGGCCAGCCCTCTGCTGTGGCCAGGGAGTGCAGTGGAGGATGGCCCAGGTGCTTGGGCCCTGCACCCCATGGGAGACCAGGAAAAGCACCTGGCTCCTGGCTCCTGCCATCGGATCAGCGCGGTGCGCCGGCCGCAGCGCGCTGGCCGCGGCGGCCATTGGAGGGTGAACCAACGGCAAAAGGAAGACCTTTCTCTCTCTCTCTCTCTCTCTCTCTCTCTCTCACTGTCCACTCTGCCTGTTAAAAAAAAAAAAGAAAAGAAAAAAAAAAAGTTCACAGGAAATGCAGGAAATGCGTCTTACAGAACAAACATGCATTTCAAGATATCAAGACTTTTTTTTTTCCAAAAATTTTTTGCACCAAAAACTTACCTATTGGCTGGCACTGCAGCTCAATGGGCTAATCCTCCACCTAGCAGCGCCGGCACACCGGGTTCTAGTCCCGGTCGAGGCGCTGGATTCTGTCCCGGTTGCCCCTCTTCCAGGCCAGCTCTCTGCTGTGGCCAGGGAGTGCAGTGGAGGATGGCCCAAGTGCTTGGGCCCTGTACCCCATGGGAGACCAGGAGAAGCACCTGGCTCGTGGCTTCTGATCAGCGCAGTGCGCCGGCTGCAGCGCACCAGCTGCGGCGGCCATTGGAGTGTGAACCAACGGCAAAAAGGAAGACCTTTCTCTCTCTCTCTCTCTCTCTCACTCTCTCTCACTATCTCTCACTATCTCTCACTATCCACTCTGCCTGTCAAGAAAAAAAAAGAACTTACCTACTTACCTATTAATTTCATTGTTCTGTGAGCCTTTGGAATTAGCCTTCATTTCCATCACCTTTGTAAGTTTCCTTACATCCTTCTTCCCAATTAATTCCTTTGCCCCTGGTCCTTAGCAGCCATAGATCTTTTTATTGCCATTTGTCGCTCCCCCTCTTCGTGGAGGAACGACACAGGACCCTGCGCTGTTCTTTCTGTCTGCTCGGCCCTCCCCGGGTTTGCTGCTGGTTCTTCCCGGGTTGGCTACTATCCCTTCCACCTCCGTGGAAGGGCAGTTCCCCCTGGCCACATTCCCCACTTCCGCAGGGGAGCGGCACACCGCCGGCCGGCTCTCTTCGGGGGCTGCACGGGTTCCCTTAGATGTTCCCCATAGATGTTCCCCGTGCATGCCGTTTCTCTCCTCCTTTATAGTCCTCCTCCGCCAATCCCAACTCGGCTGCCCACACGCCGAGTACGCTGCTCTCCAATCAGGAGCAAGTCCTACAGTTAATCAGTCGAACTGGAGGCAGCTGTGCGGAAGCTGTTTACTTCTCTCCCAGCGCCATATTGTGGGAGAGCAGATGCATAGAATAAGTCTTAATTCGAGTAACAGTCTAGTCCGGATTGCTCCCCACACCATTGATTCAATCTTTTCTAGAATTTTTTTTTTTTTTTAGAGATTTATTTATTCGAAAGGCAGAGGTACATAGAGGGAGAGATAGATCTTTCATCCACTGGTTTACTACCCAAGTGGCTATAACAGCCAGGGCTGGGCCAGCCTGAAGTCAGATGGCAGGAGCTTCATCCAGATCTCCCATGTGGGTATCGGGACCCGTGCAGTTGGGCCATCTTGTGCTGTTCTCCTAGGCCATTCGGGTGCTGGATTGGAAGTGGAGCAGCCGGGGCTTGATTTGGTGCCCACGTGGGATCCAGTGTTGCAGGCAGCAGCTTAACTCCCTGTGCCACAACGCTGGCCCCTTTTCTAGAATTCTTGTAAATGGAATGTTGGAATGCCTTTTACTGTTGCAGATTTTCGAGATGTGGGGGTTCGTAATAGACCATTCTTTTTGCTGAGTAGTCAGTGAGCCACGGAGTGGGAGAAGGTATTCACTGGAACACATGACACACCAAGGGCTGTCGTCCCAGTGTGGGAGGATTCCACAGCAGCCTTCCAGAAAGGACAGAAGATTGCGTAGACACTCACACACACACTAAGGACAGAAGATTCCACAGACACACACACTAAGGACAGAAGATTGCGCACACACACACACACAAAGAAAGGACACAGCGATGGTAAATAAGCTTAGGAAACATGCTCAGCATTACCAGTGAGGCAATAGAAATTTACAAACGCAGTGAAATCACCCTGCTCACCCTAGAATGGCAGAAATCAAAGACTGATGATACCAAGTGTTGGTGAGAATACGCAGCGAAAGCATGCTCCAAAAAGTTGATGCGGAAGTAGAATTGAGAATGTTTATTTTGGTACAGAGATGCTGACCTCTGCACAGACGTTTCGGCATCCATGAGTTTTTTCATAGTGTACATTTTCCGTTAACTTTTTAAAGACCCCTCATATTGCTGGTGAGACCATATAATTGTACATTTTGGAAAATTGGGTTTGTTTTTCTTTTAAAGTCAAATGTATGCTTACATACAACCCAGCAATCTTGCTCCTAAAGTAAAGCTAGATTACATTTAGGTTACCAAAGCTGAAAGAAAACGTAAGTCCACACTAAGACACATGCAGATAGTCACAGTAGCTTTATTCATAACAGCCCTGAACTGGAAACAACTCGGATGTCCATCAGCTGATGACTGATGATGACCCACACTGGGCTACTCAGCCGTGGGGTGGAAGGAGATCCACACAGCAACATGGATTACCCCGGGAGCCTGCCAAGTGATTCATTAGAGGTGGTTATTAAAAAGACTTCAGATGGGGGTGCATGAGAACTCACTGTGCCCTTGCTCGATTTTGCCACAAACCTATAAAGCCTATTATTTTTTAAACAAAGATTTTAGCAAGAGAGGCTTTGACAAAAGAAGAATCAGATTTGAAATTTTCAAACAGTCCTAGAAGTCAGAGAATTTGAGTAACATGTAAATGTGAATGAAACAATTTGCTTTTGGGGGGGGGGGGGCTTTCAACAGGCTTCTTGTCATGAGATCCTATTAAAAGTCACAGTGGGGACTTCCATGCCAGAGCACTGGGCCTCGGGTGCGTTGGATCCTGTAATGAAGGGATCACTGCCCCCAGAGGGGACCCCCACCAGTCCCGCTCCCTGGGTTCTCCAGGGCCAAGGGGGGCTGCACTCGGCATCTGGCAGTGTGTTCTTTCTTAGGTAAGAAAGAGGGCAATTTATGGTTTCCAGCCATAGGAACACTTCTAGTAGAGTGAAGACAACAGGCAGAATAGTTTTCACAAAAATACGTTCTGGGGATAGCAAGAACTTAAACGACTGTGGTGTAGTAGTGTTGTGGGGGACGACCTCCCCACCCCCAACTGCCCCTGCCAAGGCTTGGTCCAGGCTTTTGTCTGCATGGAAGACAGAAGAGGAGAACGGAAGAGATGATGGTCAATGTCAGCAGATAAGCAAAGTTTATTTACAGGCAAAAGGCAAGTACACAAAACACGTGGGACCCGCATTGTGGTGCAGTGTGGTAAGTTACCCGCGATGCTGGCAAGCCCACTGGGCACCACTGGTTTAAGTCCAGCTGCTCCACTTCCAAGCCAGCTCCCTGCTAATGCCTGGGAAAGCAGAACGTGGCCCAAGTGCTTGGACCCCTGAACCCACGTAGATCCGGACGGAGCTCCAGGCTCCGGGCTTTGCCTTGGCCCAGCCCTGACCATTGCAGCCATTTGGGGAGTGAACTGGCAGATGGAAGATCTCCCTCTCTAACTACTTTTCAAATAAATAAATATTAAAAAAAAAAGTGTCATAGCTCCAGGTGCATGATGGGAGTGGCAGTGCTGGTCATGGTGCGGATTTGCAGGAAAAACAGGAGTTTTTCCGTGAGTCCGCCATGAGAGCCAAGGGCAGCTTGGTTTGAATTTCTCAGCTGCTTTGCAAGACAGTGACTTCAAAAGGCCATGCGTGCTGTTGCTGAGGGGATAACAGTGGGTGGTATTCCTGTCTGGGCACGAGAGCCACCCAGCAGAGAAGAGACAGGTCAGCTTTCCCTTTGGATTTTTTTCCTATGCTAACGAAGACAACATGCACCATTTTACAGGTTGTTTGCTGTAGC